CCACGGGTGCCGGGTGGCGTGGCCACCTGGGCCCCCTGATGCGCTGCCGGGCCGGCCGGTGTCTCCCGCTTCAGGCGCCGGGATGACGCGTCCCACAGCCCGCCTCGCCCCACGCCCGGCCGAGCGGCACCCGGCCCCTCGGGCCTCCCCCAAGCCGAGCCGCACAGCGCCCCAGGCCGTTGATGACAGCTTGGCACCCCGGGGCCTGGACGGCATCCCCCAGACCCGTGCCCCCGCCCTGGGCGCTGAGGGTCCCCGCCTCACCCTAGCCACCCCGCCCCCTCCCAGGGCTCCTCTCCTGCCCCGGGGAGCCCAGGCCGGTACCGACAGGCCGGCGTCCCCCCACGCCCGGCCACCCCTCGTCCGCCGCGTACTTGGCAGGGCGGACAGGGGCCTCCCCGGGCCGGGCAGCACGTGCCGTCCTCCCCCGCGTCCCGTGTGCGGGGCTCTGACTCGACGGCGGCAGCACAGCCAGTTCCGAAACACCCGGGGCGTGGACCCCGCGGCTCCTCGCGCTGCCCTTAGTCGGCTCTCGCCGCGGTCTTGCGTCTGCAGGCGGGGCGGCCGCGGGGGCCGAGGGAGGGCGGCGGCGGGAGCGCTGCCTGGCGTGGCCCTGGGCGCTGGGGAGAAGCCGGGCGAGGACCGGGGACCACGTGGCGCCCCCAGCCGCTCCCGCTGCCTAGGAGCCCCGAGCGCTGAGAAGGTGTTTTCTCGAATGTTTGTGCTACTCCCCATGGACAAGCGACGGACAGCGCGTTTTCAAGTTCAGTTTTCATCAATGTTTTCTCTGGTCGGGGCAGCCAGCGATACACCGACGCGGAGCCCCTGCCGCCGCCCGCCGCCCGCCGCCCGCGCAGGGAGCAGCGCGCTCGCAGGCCCGGACCCCAGCACCCCGCTGCCTGCTCTCCCCCATATCGACACACCGTCGGTGATCACCCCGGACGAGAGAGCACAGTGAAGTGTAGTAACGACAACTAGTGCTGATTTATTGCTTTTTTAATTGAACTTAACTCATTTAAGTAAAATTTTAATATTTGTTGCATTGAGCACCCCCCACCCTTCTGACAAGCGAACACTGCCCTCTCTGGAGCCCTTGAGGCCCCCCCCACCTCTCTCGTTGGCCTTTTTATTACACGTGCAATTAAACTTGCAGCGCTCGCGCCTCCTGCCCGCCGCCGACTAGCACTGAGGGTACGTTCGTACCTCTTTGATTTTTCGGAGGACTTTGAGCACAGGTATTGCTGGCTTTGAAGGTTTGGTGGAACTCACTTGTGAAACCTTGTGGTCCTGGGCTTTGGGGTTTTTGTTTTGTTTGAAACGTTTGATTACTGTTATCAATTTCATCACTTATAATTGGTCCCTTCAAATTTTCTACTTTCTGGTTCAGTCTTGGAAGGTTGTATAAGTCTAAGAATTTGCCCATTTCATCTAGATTTTTCAATTTGTATAAAGATATTCAGTCTCCTATGATCTTTATTTCTGTGACATCTGTTGTAAGATGTCCTTTTTTCAGGGCCTCCCTGGTGGCGCAAGGGGTTAAACACCGCACTATGAAGCAATCCGCAGCCTCTGCAGCGCAGAGTTCAATCCCCAACCGGCCAGGGAGCTGTCCTCATGGCGCGGCAGACCTCTCCTGCCTCACCCGCTGCTCCCCTCAGCAGTGTATTACAGTCAGTCTGCCTGTTCTGTTCCCCGCTCTGGCTCTGGTGAATCCTCTCACCCCCCACACCTCTGGCCTGTACCCCAGTTCTTGTGTGCATAAATAAATCTTTTGGGCCTCCCCTGGTGGCGCAGGTGGTTGAGCACCGTGCTGTAAAGCTGTCCGCAGCCTCTGCAGCACCGGTTTGATCCTAGTCGGCGGGGGCGGATCCCACATGGCGCGCAGACCTCTCCTGTCTCGCCCGCTGCTCCCCTCAGCAGTGTATTTCATCAGTCTGCCTGTTCTGCTCCCCGCTCTGTCTCTGGTGAGTCCTCTCACCCTCCCGCGCATCTGGCCTGTACCCCGGTTCTTCTATAAATAATCAATCTTAAAAATAATAAAAAAATAAATTTAAAAAAAATGTCCTTGGGCCTCCCCGGTGGCGCAGCGGTTGAGCGCTAGGTTGCGAAGCTGCCCGCAGCGTCTGCGGCGCCGGTTCGATCCCCGGCTGCTCCCCGGCCACCGGAGGAGGGTCCCACATGGCGCGCAGACCTCTCCTGCCGCCCGCTGCTCCCCTCAGCAGTGTCCTTCGGTCCTTCTGCCTGCTCTGCTCCCCGCTCTGGCTCTGGTGAATCCTCTCACCCTCCCGCGCTTCTGACTGTGCCCAGTGCTTGCATAAACAAACAAACAAACAAATAAATAAATAAAGCATGCCTCTATTAAAAAAAAATTAAAAAAGTCCTTTTTCATTTGTAATTCTATTTCTTAGGGTTCTTTACTTTTTCTCTGAATGAGTCTTAATGGGTGGTTTATCTATTATATAGTTTCAAAAAACAAGCTTTTGGTTTCCTTGATGTTTGAACTACTTTTTTTCATTTCTAGTTATTTCTGCTCTAATTTTTATTATTTTCTTCCTTCTAGTAGCTTTTGGTTTCATTTTCCTTTTTCTACCTCCTTAAAGTATGTTATTAATTTTACCTTACAGGAGGCAGCACACACATGGAACAAATAAACGTTTTTTACAGGTTTTTTTGACATGACACACCCAACTGGACCGTGCAGCTCAGCCGTGTTTACTGCATTCAGCAGGTGTGTGCCAATTTCAGGACATTGTTATCACCCCAAAAGAAACCCTGTCTCCATCAGCAGTCACCCCCTCCCCCCCACAAATTCTTCAATTTAGTCCTTAAACAATCCTCATTCAGCGTCATTATAATTTGATGGGGAGCTCCAGTTTGGCATATGAACTAAACTGAGATTGCTTTTATGGTTTTCCCTTCACTTTGCATTGGGCCCTGCCCTGGCTGTGGTCCATGCATCCTCTCATTAGTAATCTGAGGGCACACAGAGGGCTCCCTGCTCACTTTACAGATGGGGAAACTAAGGATCCAGGAGTTTAAATAAGAGGCAGAGCCAGGGTTGGTCCATGTGACCCTGCGGTCTGTGTTCTTGCCTCTGCACTGTAAGGCCAACACCATCTGCCCGTCCAAGCTCCAGAAAAATAAAAAATACAGATGCTTAGGAGAGGTTAGTCACGTGCTCCCTATCGTGCTTTGTCAGTGTTACCGTCTCTGTCACATGAATAGGCGGTTCTGCCAGGTACCACTGGTGGCCACAGGGCGTTAACTGCAAGGATGCGGCCAGAGGCCGCCCGCCGGCAGGAGTCTTGCTCGAGGCGAGTGCGCCATCTAGCGGCGGGCAGAGAAAACACGCCAGAAAATACCGATTCCAGGGCCTCCCGGGTGGCGCAGCGGTTGAGCGCTGGGTGGCGAAGCTGCCCGCAGCCTCTGCGGCGCCGGTTCCATCCCCGGCTGTTCCCCGGCCACCGGAGGAGGGTCCCGCATGGCGCGCAGACCTCTCCTGCCGCCCGCTGCTCCCCTCAGCAGTGTGCTTCGGTCCTTCTGCCTGCTCTGCTCCCCGCTCTGGCTCTGGCGGATTCTCTCACCCTCCCGCGCTACTGACTGTACCCAGTGCTTGTGTAAATAAATAAATAAATCTTTAAAAAAAAAACCGATTCCAACAGGGTGGTGCCTGCAGGGCCGCGAGGGGCTGACCTCGCACTGCAGACATTCTCCTCAAAAGGTATTCCTCGCAGAGGGGCAGCAGTGACAAAGGCCTTAAGACACAGGAGCCAGGGGCCTCCCCTGGTGGCGCAGCGGTTGAGCGCTGGGCTGCAAGGCAACCCGCAGCCTCTGCAGCGCCAGTTCAATCCCCGGCCGCCAGCGAGGGTCCCACAAAAAAAAAAAAAAAAAAGACACAGGAGCAACAGTGGCCTGTGTCGGATGGAGGGGGCAACGGGTGAAGTGGCCCAGCCTGCTTTTGAATTCCTGTGAGAGAAAACAGCACTGCCATGTTTGACCTGGCATTGCCCCCCTGACCCCCATCTCAGAGCACCTACTGACAGGGCTCCCAAGCTCGAGGCGGCCCTGTGCACCCTGTCCAGACCCCCACGACTCAGTGGTGCTTCTCTGACCACAGGCCTGTGCTCCGGCGTGGGGAGTCGAGGAATGAGTGGGGGAGCATTTCATGGGCACAGAGTGCCACGTGGGGAAGGTGAAAAGTTCTGGAGATGGATGGTGGGGGTGGCTGCAGAGGCATGTGCGAGAACTCAGTGCCCCGGAACCGGCCGCTTCCAGCTGCTTGTGGCAGTCAGTTCACTGCAGCGCGCAAGTGGCGTCTTCACTTTCATACGTGTCTTCCACCAGCTTGCCCGGCTGCAGCGTTCGCAGAACAGCTTTGAAAGTAAAATGTTTAGATCAGGTGCAAAGTGTCTCACCGGCTTGGAATGACTTGCAGCTTCATACAGTGAATCAGGGCTATCCTTGGACTCGCTCAGGGAGTGCGAGGCCCCCTCACCAAGAGTGGGGGACAGAGCCTCTCCCTGGTTAGGAAGGCTGGAGCGGCTCAGGCGCTTCAAGCTCAGGGTCAACAAACAGGAAATGGGTGTGCGGGTTGTTTGTTTAGAGCAACATGGTACAAGTCCTAGGGGGCTGCCCTAGAAAGCAAGCGAATGGGCAGAGTTCAGCAGCTCCTCCGCTGCAAACGCAGCGCGGGCCTGCTGCCCTGTGGCGAGCACAGCGGCTCCTCAAACCAAGGACAGCAGCCCCAAGGCCACCCCGAGGCCTGCGGGACTGTCGGGAAGCCACCTGTGCTGTGCATCCTGCGTCTAGCTGGGAGCGAGCCCTGCCAGGTGAGGGCTCACGGGAGAACAGTGCAAGCCAGCACACTGCTCTCCGGTGGGACCGTCCCGACCCGTCTGGACAGCTGCACTCCTGAGCGCCGCGGAACCTGGGAAACCGGCCAGCAAAGGAGACAACTGGGCCCAGGTCCATGGGCGCCCAACCCTGCGGCGCAGATGCAGGCTGGCCACACCCGCACCACACTGCCCCACTCTGACCTGTACTGCCTGCGCCGGGGCCTCTGAGTGGAGGCCGCTGTGTGCTAGCACTGCCCGGAGGGTAACCACAACAGCCCCGGCCCCAAGGCTTTGCCCACACCGGAGAGTGGGACCCCAAAGGCGCGGTCCACCCCCATCCCTGGCCACTGTAAAGGTGACATGGGTGCCCTCTCACAGATGCGGAGACCAAGGCTCGGTACCCACGGCAGATGTGCTCAGGGCAAGTGCCTCTAGCAGTACCCTGTCCTGGCCCTGGCACCACCCACTGGCTTCTCTCTGGGCAGGCCCTGGGGTCCTGGCTGCAAGGTCATCCTGGCCCTGTCACTGTCCCAACACTCGGCAGCCAGCTCACCACAGACACCTCCTCGCCACAGTATGGACCAGGCTGCCACCACGTTTTCTAACACAAAAGACGGACCCATCGCTGTCTCCAGCCTCCCGTAAAATAGGGTTAGGCTATCCATCTGGGATGGGTTGAGCCGTGTCCAAAAAGGGTGTGGGGGACCTAACCAAAGGTGGTCTGATCTGGAGACCAGGTCTGTGCAGAGGTGATCAAGCTCAAAGTCAGGCAGTGGCCTGACCCGACACAATGGGAGAGCCCGATAAAAAGGGGGGATCCGGGCACAGACGCCGAGGGGAGATGACGTGCCAGCTCAGGGGAGACGCAGGCGCCTCCAAGCCCAGGCTGCACCCTGCTCACAAGGAACCCGCCCTGCCCACACCTGAATCTCGGACTCCGGGCCCCCAGAAGCGGGCGGCAGCCCATTTTAGCTCAGGCCCCACTTGTGCTGCTCTGTCACAGCAGGCCCAGCACAGGCGCTGCCGCGGTCACCCCTGCACCTGCCCTTCCAGCAACAGCCGCACCACCGGACAGCAGCACGCAGCAGGCAGACTTTGCGGTAATGATGTATTGTCTGGGTATCAAAGAAATCCATGCAAACTCTGGCACTTACACAGTACACACAACACAGGGGCGCCGAGGCACCCCTCCTCCCGCCACACCCACCCACGAGGCAGGCACACTCGCTTTTACGTTGTCAGCGTCACCCTTGACTTGCAGTCTCCTGGCTCTCACCACAGCGTGCCAGGAAACACCCCGTGAGCAGCCCATCGCTGGTGCCTGCACAGGTGCCACCCTGCTCAGTTCGTGCAGATGACAGGACAGTGAGGCCTGCAAGGCCAGAGTCACAGTGAGGCCTGGGGACACTTCCGAAGTGCCTGTTCCATCCCACCACGCCGGCCCAGAGGGGTGACAGGCCTGCCGTCTGCCCCTTGCCAGCAGGAACATCACCTTCTTTTGTTGCTGTCTTGACATGCTTTCCTACGTGTTGCCGCCACTGGTGCCCTAAAGTAACTCCTTATTCGGGAGGCCCTTGAAGCCAAGCCAGATGGGGAGGAAGCAGACTCCCTCACTTGGCAGCAAATGGCAGGGTCTAAAGTCCTTGGTGTCACGTGTAGCCCCCCAAAATATGTCCACATCCTACAACCTGAAACTTGTGATATAGCCTTATTTGGAAATGGGGTCTCTGTAGACATAACAGGAAAGGACGAGCATTAACCACCTGGCCCCTGCATCCAGCACCGGGTACCCTTGTAAGAGACAAGAGGCCACGTGAGGCCAAGATAAGCGCGCACCTGTACCAGCCAAGAAACCCAAGGCCAAGTGCCCTCATAGCCTCCAGAAGGAACCAACCCTGCCCACACCTTGACCTTGGACTTTGGCCCTCCAAAAGTGGGAGACAATTTCTACTGTTTCAGGCCACGAAGGTTCTGGTTCTTTGTTCCAGCAGCCACAGGAAGCAAATGCACCCCCAAACTACAAGTGCTCTTGTAGCATACGGCAGGATGGGGGTTGAGACGTGGCGCCCACAAGTGCAGATGCTGTCTGGGCAGCTCTGGCTTTAGGGCCCTGCGGATACTGAGGAAGGTCCTGCCCAGGCGGGGCCTCTGTCCCACACTCCCATGCTGCCCCAGGTCCCAGAACAGAAGCCCCACCCAAAGGCCAAGGATGGGCCACAGGAGGAAAGGACCTGCTTCCTTTCTGCGCTCCCACTTGCTGCTTGGCTGCAGGGTGACGCCCCAGCTGCGAAAGCCCAGGAAACAGGATCCCAGTAAAGCGCAGACCCCTCCTGTACTCGCCTAGCCGGCACAGCTTCGTCAGGAGGAGGGACAGAGTGCAACGTGGGCAGCGCTGCTCCCTTAGCCGCTGGCAGCCACTGCACACCAGAAGTAACGGAGAGGGTGAGCGTGAGCACAGGAGACAGCAAACGTCGGGCCAAATGCCCCAGCGCCCACTGATGACCAAACAGCATCTCAGACAAGGCCTGAGATTGCTGGCCTGAAGCAAACACTGGCCTGAAGCAAACCATTAACAGACTGAACAGGAGCCTGCGGCCCAGAGGCATCAGGCACACGCTTCGCAGAGCACAGCCCGAGGGCATGGCATGTCACAGCCAGCCCTGGCCCAAGAGGGCAGGGCAGGGCAGGTCTCAGATGCAGCCCAGCCTGAGGCTCGCCAGTCCACAGGGCTCTGGGGAAGGAACAGGGAGCAGGAAGACACTGGGGGTGCTCCACCTGCCACCTGCAGATGTAAACGGTGCTGCTTCAAAGGCTTCGACCCCAAGGCAGACGTGGCTGACACAGCACAGATCGCAGCAGGCAGGATGAACTCGCCATGGTGCAGCCCACAGCTGGCCGGGGCAAGCAGCCTTCCCTGAGAGCCCCGGCCTTGATCCTTGACCACCCCCACTCTGCGGCAGTGGAAAAAGAGGGGACCCCAGAGGCAAGCGGTTCAAGCAGACGGAACAAACAGAAAGAGCCTGGAGCCTGGCCAAGGCTCTCTGCGCCCTACAAGAGAGAAGGCAGAGAACGGGGGAGCTGAAGCGCAGGGCCTACAGCTAGCTCTTGGGGTTCAAAGAAGTAGCCAGGGCTATGCCCCCAGCCCACAGCTCAGGGAGAGGGAGAGGGAAATGCATCCGCAGCGTCCGGCCGGCCAGCGCACCCCTACTCGATGCACTCCATGACGTGGATCTGCAGCGTGTCCATGTCGGGAGCCTGGTACTGGCACTTGGGGCAACAGAAGTCGGGCGGCTCCTCAGGGGGAACCCTCCTCTGGCCAGACGTGGCTAGGTGAGAGGAATGGTGAGCTGGGGAGAGAGCGGCGTGGTGTGGCAGCTTCCCATGCAGGCAAGAGCAGCTGAAGGCGCCCCCTGCCCACGCCCTGGGCTGGGGTGGGACTGGTGAGCAGGTGCTGCGTGCTGGAGGGCAGAAGGGGGGGCCGGGTGGGCGTCCCCTCCCCCACCAAAGCTGGGCCCGCAGCCCGCCCTCCCCTGCACGCCCTCACCTGGGGCAGGAGGTAAGGGCGGTTGGGAGACCTCTACGTGCCGCTTCCGCAGATCTTCGAACCTTGGAAGGAGAAAGCGTGCCATGAGCAAGGCAGGGGGAGGACACACGCCCTCGCCGGCCCCACAGCCTGGCCGCGCCGCATGAGGCCCACCTGGCGGACTCCTGGCAGTTGGCCTTCAGGCGGCTGTACTCCCACTGCAGCTGCTCCAGCTGCCCCTGCAGGATGTCCTTCTTCTCGGCCAGCTTCTCCCGTGCCTGCCTCTCCGCCTGGAAGTCCGCCTTGTAGATGTCCGCCTGGCAGAGTCGAGGGGACCGACACTCAGCAGGCACTCGGGGCGGGCCCCTGCCACAGAGGGGTAGTGACCCCGAGGCCCTGAGAGGTCGAGGAGGAGCCTCAGGGCTCGGAGTGATCTGGAGAGGCCAGAGACAGGGTGGGTGGCAGCAGGAGGCGGCGGCCCCGAGAACCCTCACCTGGGCCTTCAGCACCGGGACGGTTTCCATCACGATCTTGTGCTGCTCGGCGTCCTCCTTCAGCTTGTCGATCACTTCCTGTTTGGCCACCAGGGCCTCCTCGGCCTGCTGCAACTGCTGCTTCAGATCTTCCAGCTGCACTCCCTAAAGGGAGCAGGGGCTGAGGAGCGAAGCTGGGCCAGTGGGCCACCCCCAGCAAGGCCGCTGCTCCGGCCAGAAGGCAGAGCTGGAGAGGCCAATGCAGCCTTCCCAGAACCCCAGCCAGCACGGGCTGCACCACCTCCCAGCGAGCGGGTCGCCACACGTCTCTTCTAAGCCTCAGGCGCTGCCACCTGCTCCCTCAGCGGCACGGCACCGCCCCGCCCAAGACAACACACAGACGTCAGATGCACGCCCATTTACAGCCACGCAGGTGCTCACACGTGCACACACCCCCACGTGGCCTGCCTTCTAGAGATCAGAGGGTGGCTCATAACCAGCTCCTCCTCACACGAGCCGGGGCGCATTCCTGTCTGACACCCTCCTTCACACGCGAGGCCCAGAGACCATACTCCGCATGCATCTGAGGGCGCCACACTCAGAGGGCGCCAAGCGCAGCCTTCCCATGTCGGGCTGGAGACCCCTGCAGTTTCCCGGGGCTTGGGAAAAACCAAGTCAGAAGCGCAACAGGCGGCGGCCGGCAGGAGGACCAGCCACAGGCAGCCCAAGGCTGGCTCGGCCCCGCGCCCCCAGCGCCGCCTGCTCCTCAGGCCTGGTCCCAGCGGCTAAGCCCCGGCGGCACGTCAAGCCAAGCAGCCATCCCAAGACATACTCCCTCGTCCCGCCTGCAGCAAGGACGCCAGTCCCGACGGCCCCATCCAGGCACTCACTCTGCTCCGCTCACCGCCCACCGCGCTGCTCTTCATGTGCTTGTCGTACTCCTGGAAGAGCTGGTGATAGGCCACCTGCAGCTGCGCCAGCTTCCGCCTAGAAAAACAAGCTTTGCCTGCCCGCTCCGCCCTCTGCCTCCTCGCATGTCGCAGGGCAGAGGCTTCTGGGCTGTGCTCGGGCCTGGAAGGCGGCAGCTGGGAGGTAGTGAGCCCCCACAACGGTGTGAGCCAAGGAATGCTGACGACCACACAAACCGTCCTTCCCTGCAAGGCAGGCCTGCGGGAGGGCTGGTCTACATGACAGGAGGCTGGAGCAGCACCCCCAGGGAGAGGGGCAGACCCCAGAGCCACGTGGCTGCCATGCAGGGCATGCAGGACGCTGCCCGCACAGGAGAGCACCCGCTGGAGGCCAGGGCAGGATGGCGAGGCACTCACTTCTCCTCCGAGGCAGCCTGGCGCTCCATGCGCAGCGCGGCCTCCACGCTCTGGTTCTGCATGCGCAGCTGGTCCACCTGCACGCTGTGCTGCTGCTGCAGCGCCTCCCGCTCGCTCTCCAGCTGCTGGGCCTGCTCGCTGGCCGCTCGGGCCCTGGCACAGAAGGAGGGAGGTCATGGCGGCCCGGGGAGCAGGAGAAAGGTGGGCAGCGGGAGTGTGCCAAGACCTCCAGTCAAGGCAGAGCGACACAGGTCGGAGGCTCTGTCACTGGCGATGTGGACAAGGCAGCAAGTGCCTTGTCTGAGTGCAGACAGCAAGGAGGCCGGTCTTGGAAGGTCAGGAGAAGAGGGCTTAGTGGGGCCGGGTGAGAGGCCCCAGGACTGCTCATTGGGTCCCAACAGGCGCTGGGGGCCCTGGAAGAGCAACATCACCGAGACCGGGAGGAGAGTACACAGAGGGCCTTTCTAGGTCAGGAGGGAGGTGAGACAAGGTGAGAAATGGGGGTGCTGGAGAGAGGCAGGGTCAGCGTGCTTAGGCAACTCTTCCCCGCAAGTGGCTGTTCCAGGAGCAGCAAAGTGGTCACCCACCTCCGTGGCTCAGCTGGAGTCACGCACATCTGGCAGAAGAGCCCCCCACCCACCTGCCCGGGCGACAGCAATGGCCGGAGGCACAACCCCCTTTCCCGCTACACCCCCAACGCAACGGCTCATGTCTTCTCTCCTGGGTCACCCGAGCCCCTCAACTTCTAAGCCAGGGCCCAAGTGACCCCACAGCTCCCCAATCTCCTGTCTCTGCACTCATTTCTCCCCACAGCTCCCCCAGTCTCCCCTTCCAGGCTCTGGCCACATCATCCTGCCATTGTGACACCTTCCCTGGTCCCCAGCACTGGCGGGACGAGGGGTGGCAGTCCCTCGAGGCTTTCTTTGGCCAGCCTCTCCGCACCACTGAACACACATCTGTGGCACCATGAAAGTTCATCCTCTGCCTGACACCCCGCAACCAGGCAGGGCCACGGCGAGGTGTCAGGCCTGGGCCACACCGCTTGCATCCATGGGACGCAGTGTGAAGCTGTTGAAATGTCCACACCACGTGACTGGAAAAGCAAGCAAAGCTCCATGAGTCCCTTCCCAGGTGGTGAGGGGCAGGAAAGGAGGCAGTCCAGGTGCCTACAAGGTGGCACAGAACGCCCGGGTCCAGTCATTCACGGATGGCACCACCCTGCCAATGCCTAGTCTACATGCACAGAGGGCAGATGGGCAGGAAACGCTTGAGCAGTCTAGAAGTTGACCCGTGCGGCCCGTGGGAACATGGAGGTACAGAAGAGCACGTGGGGGGCACAGCAGGAGGCAGCGGCCGCAGCCTCGGGGCTCAGCCTTCCTCCCCTCGCCGGGTGTGCCATGCCACCGAGGGCAGCGCCTGCAGATTGTTCCCTGCGCCGGCGAAACAGACAGAGTTAGCCCCGTGGCCGGACCGCCCGGCGCGCCCTGATCACCTGCGGTCCCGGGACGGGGGGGCCACCCGCCCCAAGAGCAGCTGCTGGGCCACGTGACACACACAGAAACAGCCCTGTCCGGTTTTTGACCTGGCGGCCCCACTTCCGGGAACCGTCCTGCAGAAGGGGGCAGCAGAAGGACGGCGCAGCCCCCGGTGCCCACAGGACACTACTCCCACAGGGGCAGCTCCTGCGTCAGGACCGCCCCCACCGCAGGGCACTGGGCCGGGCACCCTTGGGACGACGAGTCTCCCGGGGGGCCCCCGGTCTCCGGTGGCACCTTCCATGGTCAGAGAAGGGGACGCCGGCAGGAGGGAGAAAGGGAGCCCGAGGCATGGGTCCTGCCGTGCGCCTCTTGCCAGGAGCACACCTCTGTCCTGAGCGCACTGGGGTGCTTCCGAGAAGCACAGAGGCCTCAGGTGTCCTAGGGATGCCCCCTAAGGAACGGACCCAACATCCACCGAAAGGACAGTGAACCCACAAGTCTGGCCAGGACCCCGGTGCACAGCACCTCCAGCCACAGCACCCTCAGCACGTGCTCTCTCACCGAGAGATTCCTGGAGCCCCAAAACCCGCCTCACTCTTATCATGCCTTGGTAGTGACCTCCACGGGTCCTCCCCCAACTCACCTGCCCTCCAGAGCCTGCCGCTCCTTGGTAGCGGCCTCCAATCGACTCTGGCTCTCCTGCAGCTCCCCCAGCAAGGACGTCACCTGGGCCTTCACCGAGGCCTTGTCCTCGGCCATCTGCTGCAGGACACAAAAGCCAGGTCCTGTCAGTAAGTCATTCTCCGCAGCTGCCCCCTCCGCCGCCCCCGCAGTCTCTGTCCTGACTTTCTCTCAGGTAAACACCTGGGGAAGATTGCTGAATCAGGGCCACCTGAATTTTCAACTTGAGAAAAAAATGCCCAACAGTTGGTTTTCCACAAGGGTGGTGCCAACCAGCATTGCCACCGTCCCCGTGAAGCTGCGTCTTCACCAGTACCCAGGACAATCAGACCCGCCAGCTGCGACGGAGCCATGGTGGAGGCCCTGCCCACACCTATGAAACCGGCTTCCACCCAGGGAGGCCTGGGGAGCTCTGGGCAGGCGGTGGCTGAGGTGTTTTGCCAAGAGCCACCATCTCCTCCTCACGTTCGCTCTGACGCCACTGGCCCCAGAGGCCAGGCTGGGCCCCGCCTGAGGGCTACAAAGAAATCAGCCCAAAATGACTTCAACTCAATTCCATGCAGATTCCTGTACCCAGAGACTTGACCCAACTCCAGCGTGGCCATGAAATGCCTGCCTGGGAAGGTGCCACGCGGCCAGGAGAAATGTCCATCTGCTCCAGCCTGCACCTGACCACAGCGCCCCCATCTGAGAGCACTCACCGAGGGCTCCCGAATGCGAGGTGGCCACTGTGCCTTGCAGATAGAGGAAGCACCCTACGACCCAGAAGTCTTCCCCACGGAACCCTCCGGGAGCACGGACTCAGCCTCAGTGGGCGAGACCCCCAGCCCAAAACTGCAGCCGCAAGCCCACCAGCCTGGTGCCCATCAGCTCTGCTGAGCTTAGCTGGTGCGGCCTGGCTCTGAGCTCTGAGGGATCCCCCCGCCCCCGGCTCTTGGGGGCCTGGCTACTGGTTCCCAGGGGCTCCCGCAACACAGATGGCTGACGGCCCAGTGGCTCCCTGCTCCCCAGAAAGGGCCAGCCTGTCACAGCTACCTGCTGGCATCTCTTCAGGTGCTCGACCTCCTGTAGCGCCTGCTCACACTGCCGCCTCAGCTCCAGCTTCTCCAGGCTCAGCCTCTCCACCAGCGCCCTGGCCTCCTTGAACTTGTGCAGCAGGAATGCCTTCTCCTCGCGCTGGCTGCCGTGGAGGCGCTGCAGCTCCTCACAGCGCCCCCGCAGCACCTGGTTGCTGTGCCTGATGGCATCTGGGGCAGGAGCACAGCACAGGGAGGCGGGTGAGCCCTGGCCCCCCCGCCCCCCACCCGGCTCCAGACCCCCAGACCCCGCCCAGCGAGAAGGCTCCCCACACTCTCCGCCAGAAACGCTTTCAAAGCCAACGATGCTAATGAGGCACCCCCAGCTTCTCCAGGGAAGCAGCAAGCGCCCCAGCTTCACTTTGCTGCAGGAGCCTCTGGAAGTCGCTCCTGTGTTCTCACTGGGTCGGGGGCCTGAGCGGGCACCTCACTGCCCTGGGTCCATGTCTATACCACCTTGGTGACAGAGGTGCGGGGCCACCACAGCACTTGGGGTGGCCACAGGAAAGGACCACTCAGTGCCCTCACCCGCCTATTCCTGAGGACAGTGACAACCGCCTCGAGGATGAAGAGGCTTCAGGGGCAAAGCAGACAAAGTGCCCAGAGCGTGACATAGATTCCGCCAGCTGAGCGGGCCACAAGCATGGCCCGGGGACAGTTAATAAGACCTGGGGGCACTGTCGTACCCAGCATGGCCCCCGAAGGCTGCGTTGAGCCAAAGGCTCTCTGGGCAGGCAGCAGCCCCCCAACACGGGGACAGCAGGAAGTGGACACACATTTTGGGCTCTAGTTTGGCTCCTGCCAGCAGGACCTCATCTGGATTCCCCGAGGCCAACAGGGCAGGTGACTCAACAGCAGGGGGCCCCACAGAACACCCTGACACGCTGGGGGACACTGTCCAGCAAAGAGGGTGGGGGCCCCATGACAGAGGCCTCCATCAGCAATGTCACACGCACGGCTGACGGGGCGTCACAGAGACGCCCTCTAGATAGAGCACAACCCTGAGGGGGCCCGACCTCTGGGACGCGGAGTCCAGGGAGGCCGTGACCTGAAGGCCCGAGTCCCCTGAAGGCCCGAGTCCCCTTAGTCCTCGTGTGCTAAGCACACGAGGCAGGAAGAGAAGACACGCACCAGGTGACTTCACTGATATCTGGAGCCAAGAGAAACAACAGCGCAGGCGCACCAAGCGCGACAGCCCCAAGCACAGAAGTGGGGCCACCGAGAGGGAGGGAGGGAATGGGGAGCAGAGGGAGCGGGGCCCAATGGGCTGTGCTGGAGGACTCCAGGTGCCTGGGTGGTGGGTGTGGCGACATACATCTGAAGGAGTGTGAACCTGTACCCCTAAATCACAGGCACTGCGACAAACCTATGTTACATCAAATAGAACATTTTTAGAAACTGAAACAATAACGAAAATAAGTAAATAAAAGACCTAAGTTTCCAACAAGAACCAAGGGGTGAAGCCTGAGGGACACGGGCCCCATCACTTGCGGTACCCAACCAGGGTGCTGGAGCCCCCAGCCCGCAGCCCGGGGCTTGGCCATCTACAACGGCCCCCACAGCAGAGACGAGGCGTCTCACCAAACTGAAGCCAGGGGTGCACCCACGCGACAGGCGCCACGGCCCAGCAGCCAGAAGAGGCACCCAGGACATGATCACGGGGAGAGGAGGGCGGGGCGGGGAGGTGCAGGGCCCTGGGACCGGACAAGCTGCCCCAGGCAGGTAAGACTGATGGGTCAAGCGGGCAGGGGCTGGGGATGCATGCTGGGGGTGCTGGAGCAAGTACTAGACGCCCAGACACATGGGGGGCGGATGCCAGAGGATGGTCCTCAGCTGCCATCTTTTCAGACACCCAGTTCACACCACCCCTTGGGAGGCCCAACCCCCTTCCCAAAATAGCCCACAGGCCCTTCTCCGGGAGGCCCGCTCCTCCCCTGCCCCAGGCAGAGCACACTGGCCCAGGCCAGCCGGGCTCCCAGCAGAGGCCGCTGCAGTCCAGCTCCCCACACCCCGCTGCTTCCATCCCGCCTTCTCCCTGCCAGCTGGGCCCCAAGAAGGCGCAGAAAAACCCCATGTGCTACTCTAGTTCAAGGTCCTCCCCCTTCCTTCCAGGGGACCCCACCTGAGACAAAGACGGGGGTGGCTGGGCTCGCAGGCACAGATCCATCCAGACCCAGCAAATATGAGGCACAGGCCAGTCCCCCGAATTTTAACTCTGCACCCCGCTGTCCTGCTTACCTCGGAGCTCTTGGTTCTCCTCCAGACAGCGCTGGAGGGCCTCAGGCATGTGCTCCGCAGGCAGGTGGGGCATGGCTGGTTTCCCCAGCGTGGGCTCCTCCCCGAGTGCGTCCTGCTCCCCTGCCGGGCCGCCACCGGGCTGCACCATCGCACACGGCTGACTCTTCCAGGGGGGCCTGTTCATCCACCAAGTTAGGCCTGGAAGAGAAAAGGGGCATAGATCCTCTCACCCCGCGGGCCTGACGCCAGTCTGTGCGTGAGCCTGGGGGTGCAGTGCCCCCTCCCATGAGAAACAAGAAAATACATCACTTATGTCATTTATGATTGGTATCTTCTTTTGTTGATCTTATGTAATCTAATACTGTTTAAAAATGTATAAAAATGCATAATGATTTGAGCACATCACATTCAGATATTCACTCTAAAAGTGTGTCTGTCTGACATTTATGCGCCGAATCCTTGACCACCCTGCACAACTTCTCATCCCTGAGTCTGCCCTGCTAATCTACCGCTGCGCTGGTCCACGGCACGGGGGCACACCTTGGGCAAAATGCCTGCATTCTGTCCAGCGCCCGGGATGGCCGGGTGGCTAAGGGAGGCGCAGGTCTGCTGGTGGGGCTCGGGAAGGCACTGTCTACGCCTCTGCCTGCCACCTCCCCTCGGGCTATGCACTGAAGTTCAGGATGTCATCGGAGGGAAACGGGAAGAGGTGATGCTTGGAGGGAGATGTCTGCGTGCTGGGTGTCCTACACGTTCCCACGCAGGAGTGCAGGGTGCTGGCTAACCCAGTACGGTGGACTGAATGTGACCCCAAAGAGACACAGCCACATCCTGACCCCCAGAAACCTGTGACTGGGGCCTTATTTAGGAAATAAGTCTTTGCAGGTATAACTAAGAGAAAGATCTTAAAATGAGATCATCCTGGATAATCCAGCTGGGCCCTAAATCCAATGCCAAGTGTCCTTTTAAGAGACCAAGGAGGAGACAACACAGACACAGAAATGAAACCACATGATGGTAGAGGAAGAAGCCACAGTGATGTGGCCACAAGCCAAGAGCACCTGGGGCCACTAGAAGCAGGAAGAGACCAGGAAGCATCGTCCCCTAGAGCCTCTGGAGGGAGCACAGTGCACTTGACCCTTTGATCACCAGAAGCCTCCAGAACCTAATAGGACAGAGTGCTGCTATTTGAAGCCCCCAAGCTCTTAAAGCAGACGTAAGGGATGAACATGCCTAGTGAAAGGCACCCGAGGTAACCCCTCAGAGCCCGATGAGTGTCCCGGGGAGCGGGGGCGGGAGTTGTGCATCCAGGCTGGAGCTTGTGGCTCACAGGCTGAGATGGCAGAGCAGAGACAGGTTGAGCGGCCTGTGTCCCTGGGTAACAAGAGGTAGGCAGCATAGGACAGACCAGTCAGGAGCCCGCTGAAGTCCTGGCAAAAGACTACCCAGAGGATGTGGCCAGCCCCAACACAAGTTTTCAGAAGCAGGCATGGGTTGAAAGTGGGCTACTGTGACAAGATATAACCTCAGACGGCCTGAGGCACTCGCCACTGCTCCACAGAACAGCCCACCGAGCAGCCAGCGCTATAGGACCCACCGCCCGCCCCGCCCTGCTTCCAGAGCAGATCCTCCTTATCAATGCACTCCTTCACACTGGGGTGCCCAGGGCTGTGTCCCAGGACTTCTTCTCTTCTCTAAATACCACTACTGCAAAACTAAGTCCATCCAGACTGTTCTCTCTCTCTCTCTCTCTCTCTCTCTCTCTCACACACACACACACACACACACACACACACACACACACACACCCTAGTCACCCCAGACTCACACATCAAACCCAATACCTCAGCTCGGACACCCTGCAGTCCTCTGGAAAGGAGTCTCTAAATCTGTGCTCCTGACAGTCCCCAAAAGCCAGCTCCACCCCAACCTCCATCTCCAGCAGCCACGGGCCAATCCACACTCCAGACACCAGGACCAAAGCCTTGGAATCCCTGACCCCTTCCCTTGTCCACAGCCCGCAGCCAACCCACCAGGAATTCCGGTCAGAGTGCATCCTGGGAGCCACCTGCTGGCTCGAAGTGATTAGTGAGAACTGTCCTAGGTGTGACAGAGATGTGGTGCCTATATTTCCTTCCAAGTCCTTTCTTCCAGATGTATGCAGAAATATTTACACATGACACCTGAAATTCGCTTTAAAATAATGGGGGAACTCCTAGGTATGTACTGAGGCGAGCACCCACACATAAGCTCCTCGCAGTTACTCACAACGGCCAAAGGGAAAACAACCCTGTGGCCACTGATTGATGAACAACCTGAGCCAGTCCACCCACGTGCCACGGTGTGGACAACACTGGCAAACACCACGTTAAAAGTAAACACGACTCATAGGAGACCACCTGTTGCGAATCTCCATTTATACCAAATATCCAGAATTAGCAAACAGAGAGACAGAAGATGAGTGACAGCTGAGAACTGGGAAAGATGGGGTGACAGGGGTCCTTGGCAGAGAGTATGGGGGTTTCTTTTCCGAGTGATGAAAATGTTCTGGAAGAAGCGCTGATGACCGCACAACTCCAGTTCACTGAAAACCAGTGAAGTGAACACTCAATGCGAGAGGGGTGTGACTAGTGAATTTTATCTCAACAAATGCAGTTTTGAAAACAGTAACAGGTGACGGTTGTGATGGACAGTTCAAAAATCTAGCCCCGAGGTGATACTGTTGGAGCTGGGAGTGGGGTGCAAGGGATTTATGATACTATTCTTTCCATTTTTGTACATCTTTGGAATTTTTCACTGTTTCACACCTGGATTACTGCAATATCCTAAGAGATCACCCTGCTTCCACCCTTGCCCCGACAGTATGTGCACCCCATTTCAGTCCACTAATCGGGCCTGGAAGGTAATTTCGACCACATCCCGCCTCCACTCACAACCCTACAGTGGCGCCCACTGTCCTCCGGGTAGAAAGCCCGAACCCCTACAATGGTGTGCATGACCCCGCAACATCTGCTCCCCCATTACTTCCTCTCCGAATATTCTCCCGTGGCCCACTCTGGGGTAGCCATCGTGGACTCCCGCTGTTCTCAAACATGTCAGGACGGCCCGTCCATCCTCGAGTCACAGAAACGGCCTGAGGTCGGTTCGAGCAGACACTGATCGGTCTGCAAAGTGCGCAAACTAAGGCACGTGAGGTCAGACACTTAGTTGTCAGAGCATGTTGAAGAGCTTTTAAGAAAACTGAACCGCCCCCAAAGCAATCAAGTTGGATGGACAGCAAATGCTTCCGAACTAGCAGTCTCCGTCCAACCAGGGGTGTGGTCAGACATCGTGGCGGCGGAGAGACGCGGAAACAGTCCCGCTGGCCGCCAAAGTCACCTGGGTCCTGAATTCGGTCCGCCTCGGCCGGTGCTCCAGAGCGCAGGGCAGAAACGGGCCGGGCCCAGCAGGAGGGGGCAGCCGGGACCTCCGGGGCGACTCGGGGGCGGCGGAACACCCTCCGACTCCGCGCTGCCTTCGGGGACGAGGACCAACCAACCAGCAGAGTCGGCCCGGCGCGAGAAGGGCGGGAGCCACGCGCCGCGAACGCTGAGAATCCCGGCACCCCGAGAGAGCCCGAGTTCCGTGCTCGCCCTTCCCTTCTCCCTTGGCTAAAATTCTCGCTTCCGGCTTCCGGGGGGGGGTCACCACGGTGTGACCCGGAAGTAAAATACGCTAGCGCGCCCCCAGGAGGCCAAGGAGGCCCACTGAGCGCACCCCAGCGACAGGCACCGCCCGCTCGTTTTCGGGGCGTCGCGACCCGCAGACTCCTCGGTCTCTCGCACGGCGGCCTCCGGCCTCCGCGAGCCGGGTCGCCCCGCCCCTGCCCGGGGAGGAGCCTCGACCGGGCAGCCTGACGGGGCGGGCGGAGCCCGGAGCAGACCACCCGTCCGGCGAGGGGCGGGGACCAGGTGGGCCCGCCCACGGAGGGGCGTGGCCCCAGGCCCGCGGGAGTGGAGCTCCCCGCCACCGCGCCGGGCCCCGAGGGGCGGGCACGGGGTCGCGCTGGAGGGGCGAGGCCGGCGGCAATGGACCCGCGGGACCCGCGAGGCCCGGGGCTCGCCGGCGGCGGCGGCAACACTGGAGCCCCAGGGGCGGGGCGCTGGCGCGGGGCTGTGGGGACGCGCCCGCCCGGACTGCGCGCGCACCCTCCCGCGCCCGCGTCCGCCCCGCCCCATGTGGGAGGGGTCTGCGGAGGCCCCGCCCCGCGCGCCTCGCCTGAGGCCGGTCAGCTCAGCCTGGGCGCCCGCCCCCGCGGGTTAAATGGGCCGGCGGGGCGCAGCCCCCGGAAACGGCAGCGAACTTCGGGGCTGCGAGCGCGACGGGCGGCGAGGCGCAGGTAAGGGGGCGGGCCGGCGCGTCGCCGCGCGAGACCCCTTAGTTTGCCACGCTTGGGAGCGGGGCCGAGTCGGGAGGGTCTCAGCCGATCCCATTGTCCCCTGCATCCCCCGCGGGCCCCCGACGACGCTGAGCCCCTGAGCGGAGAGGGGACTTGCGCCTCTCCCAGCTCGGCAGAAGAAGGGCTGTAGCCGCGCTGCATCTTCTGCACTGTCTCCCCGGCCCCGGCTCTTCGGGGAGTTTCCGCCGCGTCCCGTGTGAGATGCCCCGGGCGGTCGCGGGATGCTCCGGCAGGGTTTTACTGGCTCCGCCGGAAGCGCGGCTCCAGGTGGAATGGACAGATGCTTGGGGTCATCTCGTAGTTTACGCTGGGCAGGAAGGCTGCCTGGACAGCAGGCCCAGTGCCCCGGCCGGCCCGCTGCTTCTAATCCCTACCACCGCCCTCCCCCGGCCCCTGCCATTCCGCGCGAGTAATTTCAGTCGCGTGGCCTTCAGGTGAGAACCTGAATCACCCCTCGAGAGAGGGGCCAGCTTCTCAGTGCTTCCCTGCCCACCGCCTCCCTCCCGGCAGAGAGCATCATGGCAGAGCAGGTGGCCCTAAGCCGGACCCAAGTGTGCGGGATCCTGAGGGAAGAGCTGTACCAGGGCGATGCCTTCCACCAGTCCGACACGCATATCTTCATCATCATGGGTGCCTCGGTGAGTCTACACCACAGCAGACTTAGAATGTGACTGCCCGAGTCCCCTTCCTTCTCAGTGTCTGCCTTCCCCCGCTGTCGCTTACGGGACCTCACAAGTGCCCCTCAGCCGGACTCTCTCGCCCGCTCCTGCAGAGCACGGGCATCCCAGCCTCCGTGCAAGGTCTCCTGACAGCTCTGCGCAGCCACTGACTGAGCCCCAAGCCTGGAGCTGGGAGGTTAATGGGGGCGGTCTGCTTGCACCTCCTGCCCTGGGAAAAGGGAGATGCCAACCTGGAGCTTATTCAGACTGGGGGTATCTTCTTCCGACCTGTGTGATGCTCAGCAGATGTCACAGCCTTTTAGTTGTAGGGGCAGGATCTGAAGCCCAGTCTCCACCCGGTCTCTCTCGAGCACATTCAGTTGCCCAAGGACAGACGCCTTGACCCAGCCAGTCTGAGGCCTGGCCGGCGGGGCTATTTTCTTTAGCTAGGAAAGGCTAACTGAAGAGTAGAAGCCCAGCAGAGGCGCTGCATGCTGACAGGGGTGAAGGGGCGGTCACAGGTGGGGAGTAGATCCCAGTACAGGGGTGAGCCCCGCCAGGAGCAGCGCACACACTCCAGGTGCTCCATGGAAACCAGACTGGCAGGGTGGGAGGCGAGCCGCTGGGCTTTCCTTTCCAGTCTGGAGCGGGCTCACTCTGAACCCAGGACGTGACCGGACAGTCTGCCGTCGCAGGCCCATGTCTGCCGTTACCTTGCACAACTTAGAACAAGGCTGCTGGAAGTTCCGCAAGCGCGTCAGCTCCAGGCGGACCACTGTGGTCTCCCTGCACCTTCGTGTCGTGGTCCCTCGGCTCCGCAGGAGTCGGTTCTTTGTTCATGTGTCACTACGTGCCACCGCCCTTGGCACAGCCAGTGACACGATTCTGCTGAGAACTTGGAAAGAAAGAGCCAGGATGCAGGAGGGGCCACGCGGGGGAGGAGAAGGACAGCTGCCCCAAGCCCCGTCGTCTGATTTCCTGTAAGCCCGAGATGGGGTGCCCAGGATGAAGCCAGAGGGGCAGGCCTGGCCTCGCCCCAACCCTGTTGTGCCCATGTGGGCCACACACCTTAACACCCCGGACTCGAGTGCCAGTCCAAGAACCACCTGGAGGAGAGAGGAACTCAGGACCACCCCCTGACGGCAGGGCCGGAGTGCTCACAGCTCCAGGCCCTCGGCTCTTAGACACCCCCTGGAGAGCTGCCGCACTTGCTGCGTGGCCCCGGGGTGAGTGTCTTCCTTTCTCTGAACCTCTGCATAGCACACTGGCTTTTGAAACAAGGGCTGAGGTCCTCAGGCCAATTCCGACTCCTCATGCCTTCCCGGGGGCTCGTGGCTGGGCGGCTGGCTCGCGCGGTACTGGGCTCCGGTTTGCTTCTCCCTCCTCCCTCGGTTTGCTTTTCCCTCCTCTCTCATGGCAGCACCTCAAACAGCTCCCCCTCCATGTGGCTGCCTACCTCCCGGGTGCTGCCCCCCACCCCTTGGCTTCCCCCACCTGCTGCCCTGGAGACCAGTGAGCTCTTCATTCATTCCATGGAGGGCTGTCAGCACCCCTGGTGGAGGCTGTAGGCACGGCCCTGCCCTCCTCGTGGGGCTGCCAGCTGTGGGCGGCCAGGGTCCCGTGGAGAGTAGCTGACCAATGAGAACTCAGAGTGGCGCATGTGACAGAGGCCACCAGCAGGCCCAGCCCCTGCCGTGCACACAAGCCCTGTAAGCAGGGCTGGCAGAGCCCCCAGTGGCTGGTGGGTCCCCTGGACAGGCTGGGCCATGGAACCACTCTGCCCCTTCGTCCGCCCTCCCCTGCTTGCCCAACCCTTGCCCAACACCGGCTTCCCTCCGGGGGAGAACTCTCTTCCGGAGCGGGGCTCTGTTCCCCTGCAGTGTGGCCACTTCCCCTTTCTTAGGATTTCCCACTCCTGGCCAGGAAAGGGGTACAGGTACTTACTGTCCCTCACCAGAAAACTCTGGAACAAAAGTAACCACTTTCTCCTTACAGACCTGGGTCGGGGAAGCAGCCTTGGGCCTGGCTGTTGCATCATCCTTCATCTGATAATCCCTGGGCCAGGGATGGAGAGGAGTGGAGGGGGAGGAAAGGAAGCAGGAGGGACACAGGCCCCTCAGCCCGCCCCTCGCCACTCGGGGCCTCCGTCTCCCCACCTGGAACAGCAGGGCATGGGCTCTCTGGGTGCTCTGGCCCCACCGAACCACCCGGCCTGTGCTGGGATGACCCAGACACTGGGGCCCCCCCTCCACGGTCATTTCTGGGCTGATAAGATTCCTGCTGTGTCACCGTGATACGGGCGCTGGCCCAAGGCCTGTGACTCATGAGCCCCAGGGTGTAGGGGGAGGCCCTTTCCTTGGCGTGGCCGCCACGCGCTTAGCTCAGCAGCCCCCCTGCTCGCCTGTCTTGCTGGCCTGGAGCCAGCATGTCTTGCCAGGCCCAGGGCTCCACCCAGCAAGGCCAGATGGACCCTTGACCCCAGTGACCCTGGTGGGGGGGGAGGCCGGGGACCCACCTCTGCCAAGCCTCAAGCTCCTTGCCACACCCTCTGCCAAAAGCCTTGCAGATGGCCGCTGCCTGGGCAGAGCTAGGGCCGAGAGCGTGGTCGGGCCCAGGTGGCGCCAGGTATCTCTCGCTGGTCACCCCATGTCGCTGGGCAGGTCGTTCCCCCGGGCTCCTGGGATCAAATGAGGGGGCTTGGAAAGATCAGAGGCTTCCAGCGCGTCTTACCCGAACCCCCATAATTGCACCCACCCCACACATGATGTGCTTAGGGTTTGCAAGTGTCTTCCCACGCTCCCTTGTCTCCAGAGCCCTTTAGGCCAGCGCTGGCGCCCCCAGGCCTGGGTGGGAGGGCCTAGGACAACAGAGGGCTCCACTTCCCCATGGGCGGAAGCCCGGGGTGCCCCGCCCGCACTGCGCAGTCCTACCTCGCCACTCTCTGGGGTGCCTTGAAGCTCAGCAGGCGCTGTTGCAGGGGCTGAGCCCAAACAAGGCGAGCAGGTTCTAGCACTAGTTAATCCCAAAGGGAACAGCAAGAGCAAACAGCTTGGGGTGTGGGGCACTGTGACTCAGCAGACAGGCCAGGCCCCTGCCACCGGCTGTTTCCCGCAGCCTGTCCCAGCTCCTCTGGACCTGCTGGAATGTGGCCTTTGCAAACAGTGCTGCTCCGGAAGGGCGGGGAGACCTGTACTGCTGAGGGCCATACCCGGCCAGACCCAGCCTGCCCACCCGCCCGCCCTCAGGCTGTGATGTGAGGGTCCGGATGGCCTAGGGGTGCAGTGGAAGGCGGCAGCAGAGCCAGTCAGGGGAGCAGTGTGGCCCCCCGGCAGCGTTGCTGGTTCTCAGTGGCGCACAGCACCCGAGAGAGAGCTGGGCCTGGGGCATCCGGGAAACCCTGACCCAGGAAAAGCCCTCTCTGGGGGCGCTGGGTCCTGGTGACCTAGCGCTGACCACACCGGTCCACCTGCAGCCCTGGCTGGTCACCCAAGGAGATGGGAGGCAAAGCGGCCAGGCGCTGGCACCCCTGAGCTGCATCCACAGCGGAGAGACCCCAGGTCCTCCAACCTGCCTGCGCCCAGGTGCAGGTGCCCACCGGGCGGGGAGGACTTTGGTGCTGGGCATGTGGTTCCCATCTTGTGGTCTATAGGCATGAAGTCACCCCATGGTTATGTGGCTTTTCAACGGGCATCGGCCCTGGACCCCGAGGTACTTAAGCCCTGGAGCTGGTATTTCTGCCTGGGGTGCGTCACGCTCTGCCCAGCCCCTGTGCCACGTGGCAGCACCTGTCTGGTTGGCAAGGCTGCGGGAGTGAGAACAGGGTGGGCAGATACATGGGCTCCCTGCTCTGGATGTCCTGCCCCTCGGCCTTCCCCCAGAAGTTGAGAACTCCTGTGTGAGGTCACAGATGAAAGCCACATCGGGGGTGGGGGGGGCAGGACAGCCAACCAGGGCTGGGGAGACAGGCCTTGTGCTGCTGTCCAGGGCCTCCTGCTCCATCTGTGGCTGTCGCTGGACTGTGGCTCAGCACTGCTGTGTTCATGGCCCACCTTCGCTGTGGGAAATTTCACACGCAAACGACGAAGTCGCCAGAGGAGCACAAGGAGGGCCACGCCTTGCCACCCCCTCTCGTTGGCCCCACTGCTCCATCCTCAGGGATTTTTCCATCTTTCAGGACTTTTTAGGCCAAGCTTTTACTCCGTAAAATGCGCACGTCTGAACTGTACACTTGCTTCCACCCAGTCACGACATAGGACGCTCCCATCTCGCCAGTCAGGCCGCTTCTACCAGTGCTGCTTCAGGCACCGCCAAGTTTATCTCTCTCACAATTTGTTTTGTCAATTCTAGAGCTTCATTTCAAGGTACCCAGTATTTAGTCGTGTGTCTGGGTTTGGGGTTCGGCATAAAGATTTTGAGGTTCCCCCGGCTTGGGTGGGTACTAGCTCATTTCTTTGTGTCGCTGAGTAGCATCCCGTGGTCGGAACACACAGCTTGTCGGCTCACTGGCGCCTATGGGTCAGTCAGTGCCCCCTTGCCCCCTGGGGCTGCGGGGGTCAGCTGCTGCCAGGCTTCACATGTGGGGGTCCACGTGGGACTCAGCCCCACTCCTCGGGGTGATGCGTTGCAGGGTAGGGGAGTGTTTTGCTTCGTGAGAGGCCGCCGGTCTCCTTGAGAGAGTGGCTGTGCCATGTTCCTGCACGCCGGCGCCGTCTGGCGTTCCGGTTGCTCTGCGCCCTCCCCATCGCCTGGCACCGTCGCTCGGCGACCAGCCGTTCCCGTGGGTATGAAGCCGCTGCTCTTTGTGCTTTCATTTGCGTTTTTTGGACAACTGAAGATTCTGAAGCATTCCTCGCGTCTTTATTGGCCATTCACCTCTCTTCCTTGTGAAGTGGTGGGTCAGGTCTGAGACTTGTTTTCTGCTGGGTGGTTTTCTTGTTGAAGGAGTGGCGTGTATGTCCTGGATGCAAACATGAATGCGGTCACTCTTCTCCCGATCTGTCTGTTCTGTTCGTCCTCTTCATAATGCCTTAGCATGGACAGAGGTTTGTATTTCGATGAAGTCTTAACATCGATTTTATGGTCTTTGCTTTCTGCATCCTAAGAAATCTTTGCCAATTTCTGTCTATTGATTTTTTGGATCTAGCACATTCTGATTGTAAGCATTTCTCTGTAGCTGGATCTCAGATGTTGAATAGACAAGCACCACCCACCTCCTCTATTCTGACCCTCCCGCTGCTGGGACATGACTCAGCAGCTGCTCCTTCCGGGTTCCTGGCTGCTCCCAGGGGGCTATTTGCACATCGCCTGCCTTCCGCAATGTTTGTGGGGGTTAATCAGTGCTCCGTGTCAGGTCAAGGAAGTTCCTTTTTATTGCCAACTTGATATGAGCTCTTATCAAGACGCGATACTGGGTTCCCGGGAACGCTGTGCCTGCGCCTGGTGAGCTGACCAGTGTGCAACTGGGCGAGGCCCGTGGACCGGAGCTGTTTCTTGGAGCTCGTTCTCCCAACCTGTGAGTGGGGTGAGTTCCAGTACATTTTTGTTTCTTTGCTATAAAACCAACCTTTTGTCTCTGGGATGCGCCCCACTTGGCTCTGACGTGGGTCACGAGTTCTGGCCTCACAGGGCTGCATTTCTCGCCTGTGTTTGTGCCTGTGAAGGGGACACACTGCTGTGGCTGTCCCGCGCCTTTCTCGTCAGGTTTGCGTGTCAAGGTCCTGCAGGCCCAGCAAACCTGCAGGGAGCCTTTACCTTGGCCCTGTGCGCCCCCTTCCTGGCGAGGGTCTTGGGGACTGTGGGGCTATTTGGGGCCGGCGGAAGCCAGGTGGCCGCAGTTTGACTCCCTCAGAGACGGTCGCTTACTTCATCCCTCGCTCCATTTTCACAGGTGGGATTGTTCCAGAAATTTGTCCATTTCACCTTGTTGGACGTGGATTAAGGTTGACCGTGACAGCCTCCAGTTTCCCGCTTCCTGTCTGTGGTCCACCCTGTTGTGCTCCTAATTCTTGGCCCCTTTGGCAGAAGAATCTGGCCAAGAGGTGGCCCATCCCGACTGCCACGTGCAGACACCAGCCTCGGGCTCGTCCATCCCTTGGCCCGTTTGCACTGTCGCCGCCCCCCTCCCCACCTCCCGTCGTGTGTTTGGCTTTTGAGTCCCTCTGCCCTCTCCTGACGCCTCGCTCCAGGTGCTTCCTGGCGCATAGCTGGGAGCCCTTTTGGTTTTGCTAATGGCCAGGAGGCCACATCTTCCAGGGCTTCGGCCTTCCCCTCCCCTGCCGTCCAGTGAGTCTAGTCTCCTGCGCTTTCTAGAAGCCGCTGTTGGGTCTGGAGTCTATCCTACTTGCTTGCGCTGCCCGCCGACGGTAGCGTGCGTGGCCACGGGCAGCCGTGCGCGGGGGTGGCTCCCGTCATGTCTCCAGCCCACTCGAGTGCTGGCGCTGGGGGGTGCCCTCTCCTCTGGCTGCGTGTGAGGCAAAAGCTGGCCGACAGCAGTGCATCGGCTCCAAGTGAGTGTGGGGTGTGGGGACGCTGGCCCGGCCTGAATGCTTCCTGACCACACTTGTTCCCTCTGCCGCAGGGCGACCTGGCCAAGAAGAAGATCTATCCCACCCTCTGGTAAGCCCGGCCCTTCGCCCCTGCCCTGCAGCCTCCAGACCCCACCCTCCTGCCCTGCCCACAGCCTGACTCTGCATGCAGGTGGCTGTTCCGGGACGGCCTTCTGCCCGAGGATACCTTCATCGTAGGCTATGCCCGCTCCCCCCTCACGGTGGCCGAAATCCGCCAGCAGAGCGAGCCCTTCTTCAAAGTGAGTAGCTTCCAGAGTCTCTACCAGCCCCCAGCAGGGCTGCCTGGCATGCCACCCTGTCCCTGGATGCGTACCGTCCTCCTGTTCCCCCCAGCCTGGCGGCAGTGGGCCAGGGCCGCGGTAGGACACCTTCCCAGGGCCACCCGCACCATCACGCTTGTCATCCTCGCTCCACGTGCTGGGCCGCTGAGCCCCAGCCTCTGTGCCAGGGAAAGCTGGCAGCTCTGCCATTTCTCAGTGCCTTCTCCCACATCACAGTTTCCTGAAACCTGACTCTGTCTTAGGACATGAGGTCCCCGGGGCAACCATGCTGATCATGGGGTAGGCTTAGGACTGCAGGCCCCGCAGCGTGGCTGCTGCCTCAGCCTCCACACCAGAGGTGTGCAAAGCTGGCAGATGGGGCGACGTCAGTGTAAGCTAGGATGGCAGACTCCAAGGAGGCCCTGCCTGGCTGTGAGAGAGGGGCTGACTTCCCTGCATCCCTCCTTCCCAGGCCGCCCCGGAGGAGAAGGCCAGGCTGGACGAGTTCTTTGCCCGCAACTCCTACGTTGCCGGCCAGTACGACGATGCCACCTCCTACCAGCGCCTCAATAGCCACATGAACGGCCTCCACCAGGGGCCGACAGCCAACCGGCTCTTCTACCTGGCCTTGCCCCCCACCGTCTATGAGGCTGTCACCAAGAACATCCGGGAGACCTGCATGAGCCAGATGTAAGGCTGCTTTTTCTCCCTCCCTCCCTGCCTCCCAGGTGTCCCGGGCCTTAGGGCAAACGATCTAGGGCATCCAGACCATGTTGATGCCCCTGTTCTTGTCATGCACCAGCTCTCCAAAGAAGGGAATGCAATCAAGATTGGTCGTTTTCTAACAGCCTTTTTTATTTATTTACACAAGCACTGGGTACAGTCAGAAGCGCGGGAGGGTGAGAGAATTCACCAGAGCCAGAGCGGGGAGCAGAGCAGGCAGAAGGACCGAAGGACACTGCTGAGGGGAGCAGCGGGCGGCAGGAGAGGTCTGCGCGCCATGTGGGCCCCTCCTCCGGTGGCCGGGGAGCAGCCGGGGATCGAACCGGCGCTGCAGAGCCGCGGGCAGCCTCGCAACCCAGCGCTCAACCGCTGCGCCACCAGGGAGGCCCGCTAACAGCCTTTTTTAAAGCTACTACCACACGCATTTCCCACCCAAATCCCAGTGTCCACCCTCCAGGGCTAGGTCACATTCAAAATCCCATGGCTCTGCCAGCAGTCCCCGCCCGCACCACACGATGACAGTGTTGCTCCACGAAGGGCATGTGCCACACTTTTCCCTGTGCACGAAGTCCCCGCCAGCGCCCCCAGGTGGCAGTGTTGCCCCGAGAGAACCCTGCCCAGCCACCGGAGCTTGTTCCCCAGAGCCCCAGCCCACGCCAGCCCACTCCGCTGCAGAGTGCTGGGCCCACTCTCCTCGGGAAAGGGACGTCTCCCACTTGAAAACTCCGGGAGGTGCCCTCGACCCCATCTCCCCAGGGGCCCCCACTCGCTCCCGGGACCCAGCAAAGGCAGGAGAGGCACAGCCACTGGCCGCCGGGAGCCGGCCCGGCGGAAAGTCAGGAGCCGGGGCCAGGCGGGGACTGTGCTCAGGTGGGAGGTACCTGTCTCAGGTAAAGGGTGGGGCAAGTGGGGGCCAGCCCCGCAGGACTGTGCTGGGGCCCCGGCCCCCCACCCCCTCGGGTGGTGAGAAGGGTGACGCGGCTCTGTGCTCGCTGCAGAGGCTGGAACCGCATCATCGTGGAGAAGCCCTTCGGGAGGGACCTGCAGAGCTCCAACCGGCTGTCGGGCCACATCTCCGGCCTGTTCCGCGAGGACCAGATCTACCGCATCGACCACTACCTGGGCAAGGAGATGGTGCAGAACCTGATGGTGCTGAGGTGCGGCTGCGCCGGGGGGCGGGGCCGGGGGGGGCGCAGCGCTGCAGCTCCAGCCTCCACCCTCGACCCGCAGGTTCGCCAACAGGATCTTCGGCCCCATCTGGAACCGGGACAACATCGCCTGCGTCATTCTCACCTTCAAGGAGCCCTTTGGCACTGAGGGCCGCGGGGGCTACTTCGATGAATTTGGGATCATCCGGTCAGAGCCTGCACCCCTTCCTGGGAGGCTGGCCCGGGGTGGTGGCCATGCCGCTGCCCTGCTGGGTCTCCCCTCCCTGTTCTCGGGGCCCCTCCACCCCCCTTGCGGTTGGCATTCAGCGCTCCTTGGTGGCTCTGAAGGGAGGAGTGCTGCCCCCCTCCTGCCTCGAGGGCATCTGGCCAACCAGGGGATGAGGAAGCACGCCTTGTAACTGGTCACTCCAGAGTCCTGTTGGAGGCCTGGGTCCCCGGAACCCGGCCGGCAGGGGGGACAAGGGCGGGCTGTCCTGCTGCCTCCTCACCTCGGGGCTGACGCCTCGGGCCCGCCCCTCTAGGGACGTGATGCAGAACCACCTCCTGCAGATGCTGTGCCTGGTGGCCATGGAGAAGCCCGCCTCCACCGACTCGGACGACGTCCGCGACGAGAAGGTGGGCGGAAGGGTGCCTGCCCGGGAGTCCGCAGCCCGTGGTCCTCAGCCTCCCTGTCAGAAAAGGAGGGTTGCCCACGGTGGTTCCGGGGCGCCAGGAGGCGGGACGCTCGATGGGAGGAGCAGGGCCAAGCGGCACCTGTCCCAGGGGCCTGCACGCATGGCTGCCCCACCCGTCACCCCGGCCTCCTCTCACTGCCCCCCAGGTCAAGGTGTTGAAATGCATCTCGGAGGTGCAGGCAGAAAACGTGGTCCTGGGTCAGTACGTGGGGAACCCCAGCGGCAAGGGTGAGGCCACCCAAGGGTACCTGGATGACCCCACAGTGCCCGGCGGCTCCACCACCGCCACCTTCGCGGCCGCCGTCCTCTACGTGGAGAACGAGCGCTGGGACGGTAGGTGGCGGGCGCGGGCGCGGGGGGCGGCTGCGCGCTCGGCCCGTGCTGAGGCCGCCTCGTCCCCCAGGGGTGCCCTTCATCCTGCGCTGCGGCAAAGCCCTGAATGAGCGCAAAGCCGAGGTGCGGCTGCAGTTCCGCGACGTGGCGGGCGACATCTTCCAGCAGCGCTGCAAGCGCAACGAGCTGGTGATCCGCGTGCAGCCCAACGAGGCGGTGTACACCAAGATGATGACCAAGAAGCCCGGCATGTTCTTCGACCCCGAGGAGTCCGAGCTGGACCTGACCTACGGCAACAGATACAAGGTGCCGGGGGTGCCCGCCGCCTCCCCGCGCGGACCGCCCTTCGCGCCCCCCTCACCCCTGCCCCCCCCCCCCCAGAATGTGAAGCTGCCCGACGCCTATGAGCGCCTCATCCTGGATGTCTTCTGCGGGAGCCAGATGCACTTCGTGCGCAGGTGAGGAGCCGCCTGTGCGGGGGGGGGGGGGGGGGGCTGGCCAACCGCGCCCGCCCTGAGCGCCGTGTTCCCTCAGCGACGAGCTCCGGGAGGCCTGGCGCATCTTCACGCCGCTGCTGCACAGGATTGAGCGCGAGAAGGCCCCGCCCATCCCCTACATCTACGGCAGGTGCGCAGCAGGGGGTGGGGGGGCAGGGAGCAGGGGAGCCAGAACCCGTCCACATCTCCCCTCTGCCTGTCGTGATCACAGCCGAGGCCCCCCAGAGGCAGACGAGCTGATGAAGAGAGTGGGCTTCCAGTACGAGGGCACCTACAAGTGGGTGAACCCCCACAAGCTCTGAGCCCAGCGCCCGGTGCTAACCTCCACCCCTGGACCTGCCACCCACCCCGCGCCCTGCGCTGCCGGAGACAGGACCAGACCTCAGCCTCACATTCCTGCCCACGCCTGCTGCCGCCCAGCCCCAGTACATTCCGCGGGCAGCTGGCACGGGGCTCCCAAGTCCTGCCTGGCCCAGGACTGGAGGGTGGGGCGGTGGGCAGACCCCAGGGCCCAGGCCACCCGTCCGTGCCAGCTGGGAGCTTGGGAGCTCGGGAGGCGGGAACAGACCTCGCACCAGCCTCGGAGCCCCTCTACATTCCTGGCCGCCAGCCGGAGGGCCCCCATACCGCTCTGCCCAGCACCCCGACTGCACTCCATGGCCAACTCCCCCCCACCCCAAGCAACTCCTCTCGCTGGGAACGCAGCACCAACACGTGGGATGCCCCCCATTAAATCCACAACAGAGTCATTTGTCCTCACTTTTCCTGCCTGCACCTGTGGCCAGGCCAGCCCTCTGCCTGGGGACCGCCTGACCCTCGCTCTGCTGGGTGGCCCCTGAGTCTGACCCTGACCCTGAGTCTGAGATGTGGGGCCCCAGGACAGGTCGCATCTGTGCACGCCTTTCTGGGATTCTTGGCACACGGGCCCCGCCGGGGTGCCGGCCGCCACCCAGTGCTGTTTGGGGCGAGAGGTGGCAGTGGCAGATGTTGGGGTGGTCCTAAGAGCCTAGCCTGAGGCTGCCGAGGGCTCAAGTTTCTTTCTGGGTTTGTTCCCTGAGGCCTCAGTGCCAGGGTCCCACACCTGGGGGAGGGGGGATGAGCCTGGGGGAAAGGAACATTCCAGGTCTGCACCCCAAATCTGAAAGCAGGGATGGGCAGCATATCCCCACCCAAGCCTAGAAGGCACCCCTTACCCCATGCCTTGTCCCCCACCTCATGGGGTCCCCCAGGCCCAGCCATGGCCACCTCCCTGTGGCCCTCTGCTCTTCCACGTCTCCAGTCATGGGGCTCAGGCATCCACAAAGCACGCCCCAAGTCGTGCCTGCCAGTAACCTGTTTCCAAGGAGGGCACGTGCCGGGGTTCCAGGCGGGCCTGGTACGGAGAACAGCCGTTCAAGCCCGCACCCTCCCCACAGAGGCCTGTGGCTGCCCAGCTATGCCAGCACCCTGGACCCAGTTCCACTCCGGGCGTCCTGGCAGGAACAAAAAGACAAGTGACCAGGTGGCAGTGCCCCTCATGGCAGGACGAAGCAGCAGGCCCAGCATGGCCAGGGCAGGGGGGACACACAGGGCTGCTGTCCAGGATGAAGCAGGCCATGTGACTCCCAGCAGCCCAACCTGTGGCCCCTCCATCCCCCGCCTTGTCTTCTGGCCTGAGCTGCCCCCTGCGCAGTCTCCTGGCCGGGCGGCCACAGTGTGGGCCTGGGCAGGGAGGGATGCGGGATGCGCACTGCCTGATAGGGCACGTGGCCACTGGCTCCAGCCAGCACAGACCTGAAGAGCCTCTGAGAACCTGGCCCAACTGGTCCTAGAAGCCCAGATGGTGTGGCACCCCCTTGGGCCATTCCTGTTTGCCCTTCTCTATCAACAGGGTTGATACCTCCCTGCGGGGCAGGGGGGGGGCGGGGATGACCAAGTTTTTCAGGGCCTGACTGAATAGGGGGGAGGGGACCCTGACAGCAGAGGATAGAGGCAGCCCCCTAAGTGGTGGCTCTTGTAGGCTGCCCCCCCCCCCACACGCAGAACAGCCGAGAAGCCTCATTTGTGGACAGGATTGGAAGCAAAGTTTTGGCCTGGGGTCTCCTGAAGAAGGGCTAGTGGGAGAGCTAGGGGCCCCCAGAATCCTCAGAACCTTGTAGCTCCAGAGGCCCTGGCCTTGACTCTGGATTCGGAGCTGCTGCCGCGGGGTACAAGCAGCCCTAGAAAGGGGGGAGGGTAGCGGTGGGTGCCTCCCATCAGACCCTGCCCCGGCATGTCAGGGACAGGCCCAGGCCCAGGTGCGCGCAGTGCACAGAGGACATGAGCCTTGGCACCTACACTTGGGGAGCCAGTTCCAGAGCTTTCAGGGCGGTCCACTGTCACTGCTGGGCCCCTGAAGAGGTCCCAACACTGGTGACACCGTCACCTGAGATCTGGTCAACTGGAGTAGGGGCCGGGGTCCCAGGGGAGGACAGTCACCATCACCTCAGTTCTGGGAGCTCCTCTGGGGTTGAGGCAGGAGGTGCCTGTACCCGGGCAGAGGCCTCGTACACCAGGAGGGCTTGGCTGAGGGCATCCGACCACCTCAGTTCTAGGTGCTGATACTATGAATGAGAGCTGAGGACCCCAGACAAAACATTGGCTCCTCAGCAGCAGCAGCGGCACTGGGGCACAAGCCAAAGAGCTTGAGGCCATCTCTTACCCTTGCTGCTCGCCTTCCCTGAGGGCCTGTGACACGGGGCCTAACCTTGCCCACACCCCCATGGAAAGCTGTCCCAGAGAAAACAGGGGACTGCACACAGGTGCCTCCTGAGACCCAGAAGAGCCACCACTGAATGCTAGACCTGTACCCCATCGGGATGGTGGGTGGGCCTCTGGCCCCTCAGGGGAGTCACGGCAGCCCTCTTCCAGAATGCCTGCTCCCAGCGAGATGCACGTGGTGTCCTCTAAAGACAGCGGCTGCGGCAGGTGCCCGGGTCTGGCTGGCGCCCAAGCATTCGAGTGGCAGGTGCTTCCTTTCCTGGGCCTCAGAACTCTAAGCGTTAAAGGAAAGACAACTTGGGAGGGTGCTGCCCCTGGTCTGGTGAATAAACAGATGAGGGTTTGGTAAATGATGCCTGATCCCAGCTTCACAAGGAAACCCAATACTGGGGCCTCCCTGGTGGCACAAGGGGTGAAGTCTCAGCATTATGAAGCTACCCACAGCCACTGAGGCACGAGTTTGATCCCAGGCAGGGAGCAACCCACACGGCGCAGCAGACCTCTCCTGTCTCCCCGCTGCTCCCCTCAGCAGTGGGTTTCAGTCAGTCTGCCTGTTCTGTTCCCAGCTCTGTCTCTGGTGAATCCTCTCACCCCCCACACGTCTGGCCTGTACCCCAGTTCTTGTATGCGTAAATAAATCTTTTAAAAAGAAAACCCAGTACCACCGTGCTGACTGATAAAGCAGCAGCCCCCTGAAATACTGCTTTCATTTGCTGAGGGACCTGGGTAGGGAGGGTGAGCGAGCTTGGCGTTGCCACTGTGGAAGCTGTTGGATTCCAGCCAAAGCAATGTCACCGCCTGGCTCTATAAGCTTTCCCTGTATTTTGGCCCATTTCCTGAGGAAGGTCCCTGGAAGGGGGGGCCACTGGGTCAAAAATCCGGCAGGGGGCGCCCGTGGTGGCCCAATGGTAAAGTCTCAGGCTGTCAGCAGTGCAGGTGACAGTTCGATCCCTGGCCAGGGAGCTCCCCACACTGCGCAGCAGACCTCTCCTGTCTCCCCATTGCTCCCCTCAGCAGTGGATTTCAGTGGATCCCCACGGTTTCTGGTGAATCCTGTCACCCACCCCCATACCCCACCCTCCGTACCTCTGGCGTAGACCCCAGCTCTTGTGTGCATAAAGAAAACCTTAAATAAAAACCGGACAGGGCTGTTTCTGTGTGTGTCACGTGGCCCAGCAGCTGCTCTTGGGGCGGGTGGCCCCCCGTCCCGGGACCGCAGGTGATCAGGGCGCGCCGGGCGGTCCGGCCACGGGGCTAACTCTGTCTGTTTCGCCGGCGCAGGAACAATCTGCAGGCGCTGCCCTCGGTGGCATGGCACACCCGGCGAGGGGAGGAAGGCTGAGCCCCGAGGCTGCGGCCGCTGCCTCCTGCTGTGCCCCCCACGTGCTCTTCTGTACCTCCATGTTCCCACGGGCCGCACGGGTCAACTTGGCGTCAATTTCTCATCGCCCGCAGCCCAGATCCGTGCACCTCATGTCTGGGTTCAGACATAGGTCGCGAGTCGCCAGCGTAGCCCCAAGCCTGGCAGCCCGCCGGGCCGCGACCCTCCACTCAAGGCCTCAAAGGGAGACTTCCGCGGCGGGGCAGGCGTGGGCTGGGGCGAGGCTCGGGCCTGCCCGGCCCCGCCCACCAGCGGCCAGGGACGCAGGGGGCGGGCCGTGGGGCGGGGCGGGGCGGTGTCGCCCCGCCCACGTGCCGGCGCTGGCCCCGCCCCGGGCCGCCATTGTGGAGCCTGCCGCCTCGCTGCGCAGCTCCTCCACCTCCCGACGGTGCCGCCCGCCGACCGACTTCGCATCTTCTCGGGGCCAGACAAGTCTCCGGCCGCCCAGCCTGCGGGCCGGCCGCCAGGGTCGGAGGGACGGTCTGCGGTCCGGGCCTCCCAGGGGAGGGGCCGAGTCGGGGAACCACATCCACGTCCCGGTCCCCGAGGAACCGACGGGCTCCCGCGGCCCCGCCTGCCCCGCACGGCTCCCCCGCGTTCCGGAGGCGCCTGGCTGGTGCTGGGGCGGACGAGACAGCCACCGAGCTCGCCCGCCCCGCCACGCTGGGCCCGGCGCGGGCTCGGCCCTGACTCCCCCACCTGCTCTTCTGCCTTGTTACCCCCAGAGCGCGCGGTCCCCAAGTCCGGCACCCGCCAGCGCCGCAGCCCAGCGGGGAGAGTGGACATGAGGCTGGCAGGTAGGTGACGCCCCGTGAGCGGAAGAGGAACCCCGCTGGCGACCCGGGCCTGCGGAAGCCGGTCCCGAGGGCGCGGGGGCAACCGCAGGATGGGCTGTGGCGGCGGGAGGCCCTGCGCGCGCTTTCTCCCACTGCGAGCGCCCCGTTTCCCCTCGGATGAGGACTAGCCTTCTCCACTTCTCGGGCTCGCGAAAGCGGCGACTGTTGGCAAAGGGAGCTTCGGGGAGCTCCAGGCAGAAGCAGGGCGCAGAGGCCTGCACTCACGGAGGCGCTGAGCCGACAGGAGGCGCCTTGGGCAGGGACGCCAGGGAAGCCGAGCAAAACCGAAGAAGCCTTGAGACGCGCGCGGGCGGCGCCGGCGGGAGGGTGTGGCCTGCAGGGCAGGACTGCGAAACCGGCCACGCGGGGGTAGTGCAGGTCAGCGCTGGCACCTGCAGCCCTGGGCACCTAGAGAGCGTGGCAGCTAGCGGCAGTGCCCGCAGGGGAGTGTGCTGACCTGCAGGCCAGGCAGAAGTGAGTGCCTGGGCGCGCAACTGCCGGTTCAAGGTCAGGGCAGCTGACACCTGGCGGGAACAGATGGGAAGAGGGGTCATGAAGCCACAACCACCCCAGGTGACTGGGGCAGCCGGGGAGTTGGGGGACAGCAGGGCAGCAGCTGGGGGCGGGGACCAGGAACCTGAGTCGCCCGCCAGGCCTAGTGGACGCTGACAGGTGCCCTCCTTCCTGCCCGTGGCCGCGTCTTCCCTGGTGGGAGGGCAGAGGGCGGGGTGGCCCTGGGCCCTTGGGTGCCCCCGGCCGCTGAGGTGTCCGGGCCGCGTCTGTCCCACCGCCAGGCCCCCTGCGCCTCGTGGCCCTGGTGGTCACCGTGGCCCTGACCTGGATCGTCGTCAGCAGCCTCCTGGGCGCGCCCGGCGGTGGCTTTCCGCGCCTCCAGCAGCTCTTCACCAGTGAGTGTGGGGTCTGCCCGGCCCGAGGTGGGGGGCGGGAGGGACGGGGCCGGGGTGCGGCCCTGGGCCTATGCGTGTCTGGGGCCGTCGCCGCCTCAGGTCTGCTCCCCGCGCCAGGCCGACTGGCCCGCAGGATCCGGTACCGGCGGGCGCGAAGGGCAGGCCCCACCCTAGGGGAGGCCCCGCCGCACCCTGCCCTCGCCTGCCTGGCCCTGAGAGCGGAGGGGACGCTTTGCCCCGAGCACCTTTTCCGAGGCCGAGCCGCCCTTTTCCTGGCCGGGGCCCGTGCCCAGGGGCAGCACGGCCCGCCTGCCTTTGCCCCCGGCCCCTGCGCCTGACTCCCTTGTGCCCGGCTCCCGGCGGGGGCCAGGCTGTTAACAGAAACCACTCTGCACCCACAGGCCCAGAGGACTCCGCGACCGCAGGTAAGGGGCCTGCCACCTCCCGCCCGCCCGCCCGCCCGCCCCGGGCCGCCCCGGGCCCGCCCCTCGGGCTTCTGTGGCTCCCCCGACCCGCCCTTCAGGGTTTCTGTTCCCCACACCCCGCCTCCGCGGGAGCTGCGCGCGTGCCCTGAGCCTAGAGGGCATCTGACCCGCTCCAGAACACGCTGGCCCCGGCATGGGCCTGATGCTCCCGCTGCACCGGAGCAGGTGGAGGGAGTCGGGGGCGCCGGCTCCAAGTCCATCCAGCAGCCGGCAGGCTTCCAGCGCCGTCCTCGGGCCGGACGGCTCTCCCTCACGGCGCGCCTTCCTCCCGTCCCCCTCTGTCCCTTTGCGTCCGGGCGGGCAGTGTTTCTGCCCCCAAACCGTGCCCCTGAGCCCCATCTCTGTCCCCGGCTTCTGCTGACGAGGCTGAGCATGTCGACAGAAACGCGCCGGCCAGCCCTGGGCCCCGCTCCCGAGATGGCCTCCTCCGTGTCCGCGGCAGGGTCAGGCTGAGGATGGTCAACATGGCCGGCTCTGGTAGCTCCGTGCTTCACCATTCCTTCCTCGGTCAAACCTGTCTCTCCTCTCGCATCCGTGCCTCCAGTGCTTTGCCCTGACCTCTCCTCGGCCAAGCGTCCAGGTCTACAACTCATGAGTTCGTCTTTCCCCCAATACTGGAACACGAGCCGGCCGCCTTCTAGGCAGCGTCGGGCGGGGGTGCCTTTCCTCCGGCGTCTGGGCGACCCGTCTGTGCTGGGCCGCGGCCGCTCGCCGTTGCAGCAGTGGACTCTTGCTGCAGTGCAGGCCTTCTCTCATGCAGGCCTCTCCTGCCCTCACCACAACCCTTTCCTGCCAGTTTCCACCCGCCCTTTGGGTCAAAGGGACCCTTTTCTAACACACACCTGGAATTTCTGCAGCCTCCACCCACTACCCAGCTCCAGAGCCATTTCCACACTTTAGGGATTCATGACAGCAGCACCCCACTTCCTGCTGTCAGAATCTGTCACATACCACAGACCGGGAGCTTCAACCTCGGTGATTCATCCTCTCCCAGTTCTGGAAGCCAGAAGTGGGGCCTCCAGGTGTCCCAGGGCTACCCTCCCTGCGGGGGGGCCCCTGGTGGGGGGGCTCCTTCCCCTCCCGGCTCCGCCTCCGTCCCCGGGCGCCGCCTCTGCCCGCTTCACTGCTTCCGTCTTGTCTAAAGACACTGTCCTCGGGTTAGGGCCTGCCCTGGACGAGCCCCCCCTAACTAACTATGTAAAAAGCCTGTCTCCGTGCTGCGCACGGGTCAGGATCGCAGCTTTCGTGCGCTCCGGTGTTGGGGCAAGTGTAACAGGTGTCCGCCCCTGCCCCGTGGGACTTGGGGGTCCCCCTGTGGGGTACCAGCCCATCCATCTCCTTTCTCTCCTGCTGCCAAAGCCAGAGAAGTCTCTCTGGCACCCCTTGTCTTTGCCCTGGGGCAGCTCAGCAGGGCACAATGTCTGGAGTGTCAGGCCTTGGCCTGTACTGCCAGCCCCTCCCCCACCAGCTCCCTCCTCGCCCCCTGGGCTGGTCTTACCTCCCCTCAGGTCTCAGGTGATCGACCCCAGGGCAGGCTCGGGGGTATCACCTGCTGTCCCCCCCAGAGCCACGGGCCAGGAAGTACAAGTGCGGCCTGCCGCAGCCATGTCCTGAGGAGCATCTGGCCTTCCGCATGGTCAGCGGGGCCGCTAATGTCATCGGGCCCAAGATCTGCCTTGAGGACAAGATGTGAGCTCCTTGGGGTGAAATGGGGCACGAGGAGGGATGGGGAGTAGAACCTGGGTCTGAGAAAGCAGGGCGCAGAGGGAAACCCTGTCACTCAAGGGTGCCACCCCCCTGCCAGACTCATGAGCAGCGTCAGCGACAACGTGGGCCGAGGCCTGAACATCGCCCTGGTGAACGGTGAGTCCCCACCGCGGGGCCGGTGCCAGAGCCCAGGTGCGGGGGCCTCGCCACAGCCTGCCACCTTCTGTCCCTCTGCTGCTTCCCTGCCCGCCCTGCAGGGGTTCCCAGGAAGATGGGGTCTGTGCAAGTGAACAAGTAAAGAATAGAAGTTTCCGGGCACTTGGAGGGTGCTTCCTGAGGAACCCCTGGGGGGCCTCAACACCAAGGCAGAGCTCAGCAGCCTAGCTGTGCTGCAGCTATCCGAACAAGGGGCCTGGCAGGCATGACTAAGGGCTCTTTGGAAAGCTTCCAGAAGGGCTGCAGTGGCCACCACCGTGTCCTGAGCCTGGTCTGGGGGTGACGAGGCAGTGGGGTGCGGTAGCCCTGGCGGCTCACCCAGCAACCATCCCCTCTCAACCCAGGGGTCAGTGGAGAGCTCATCGCAGCCCGGACCTTTGACATGTGGGCTGGAGGTGAGCCCCCACTTTGCCAGTGCAGCGGGTGGGGGGTCTCCCTCATGCCACTCCCAGCGGGTCATTTGGGGGGGCTTCTTCAGCACTTCCCCCGGGTTCAGAGAAGGTTGGGGAGGCGGGCATGGCCCACTACTCTGTCCCGGCTCATTTGGCGCCCCTGGTGGGTGTGCCCTGGCCTTATCCCTCCCTCCTCTGGGACTGGGGCGTGGCATGGGGGGGCAGGGGAGGGGAGCTCCATGAGACCTGATGCCCCACGTCCCATGGAACGTGTCCCGCAGATGTCAATGATCTGCTGAAGTTTATTCGGCCCCTGCACGAAGGCACCCTGGTGTTCGTGGCATCGTACGACGACCCAGCCACCAAGTAAGTGAGCTCCAAGCCCGCTGGCGGCCTCGCCCTTCCTTCCATGTGTCCGCACCAACCAGCGCAGCTCACACCCCTTCCTGCTGCGCCAGGATGAATGAAGAGACCAGGAAGCTTTTCAGCGATCTCGGCAGCAAGAACGTCAAGGACCTGGCCTTCCGTGACAGCTGGGTGTTTGTGGGGGCCAAGGGGGTGCATAACAAGAGCCCCTTTGAGCAGGTACGGGTGGGGCCTGTCCCTGCTGTTCACACCACAGCCTTCCAGCCTCCGCCGCAGCACCCCTCTTCCCAGCAGCCCTGCACGGCGAAGGGCGGTCACTGACTAGGCTTCAGCCCAAAGTTTTCACAGGGGCAAGACTCCAGTCAGCAGCCCCCCCGCCGCCCCCCACCCCCGGACATCCACCCTGCATCCACAACCCTGCTGCCCAGCTGGGGCTGCCTCCCGGGCCGCTTGTGCTGGGCTCTGAGCTGAAAGCCACGGCACCCCAAGCCCTGCTTCCCCACAGCAGGACAAGGCCCATAGGCCGTTCTAGTGGCGTCTGAATGCCCTGGCTTCTGGAGCAACCATGCCTCCTCTGGCCTAGCTCTTGTAGCAGCTCCCTGCTCCGGGCGAGCACACCACTGGACCCCAACAAAACACCCCTGGGGCCCCGGCAGAGTGGTCGACCCCTCCCCGTTAATGTGACAGAGGCCCGGCACCCCAGGCCCATGACACTTGGCAGGTTTTTTTTTAAAAGATTTATTTATTCATATAAGAACTGGGGTACAGGTCAGAAGCGCGGGAGGGTGAGAGAATTCACCAGAGCCAGAGCGGGGAGCAGAGCAGGCAGAGGGACCAAAGACACTGCTGAGGGGAGCAGCGGGCGAGGCAGGAGAGGTCTGCGCGCCATGTGGGTTTCTCCCTGGCCAGTGGGGAATCGAACCGGCGCTGCAGAGGCTGCGGACAGCTTCACAGTCCGGCACTCAACCGCTTCGCCACCGGGGAGGCCCACTTGGCAGTTTTTTGAGACAAACGGGAGGTGCCCGACCCGACAGGGCGAGCTGGCTGCGGGCAGGTCTGGGTGCGGCCCGTGAGGGGGAGGGCCGCATGTGACCTGGCACCCAGGGCTGAGGCCTGCCTTCCCGCCTGCAGCACGTGAAGAACAGCAAGCACACCAACAAGTACGAGGGCTGGCCCGAGGCGCTGGAGATGGAGGGCTGCATCCCGCGGCGGAGCGTGGCCAGCTAGCAGCCCGCAGAAGGCCCAGCCCAGGGCGGCTGCATGTGCCCACCTAGGAGGCGGCGGCGGCACCACCGCCAGGCAGGGCACAGACCCGTGCCCCACGTGGCCAAGGGTGCCCTCTTGCCCCAGTGCATCCAGGTCCAGACCAGGGACTGGAGCGTGGCCTGGAGGCTGCGGGGCTGGCCAGGCATGCCGCGGTGGGGAGCCCAGGCAGCTGTGTCCTTTTCCAAAAACTGCTTCCCCTGGCCAGCCCCCCTCATCCCAAGCCACCCCAGCCATCGGGTGAGACAATGGCCCCCCACTGCCCGGCAAATTGCAGAATCTTCCAGAAGCTCACCTTGTTTCCAGTGAGATCCCGTCAGTGAGCCCCACGTGGAGACTCTTGAGAGCCCTGGCTGCCTCCTGCCTCGCTTGGCAGGAAGGGGCCATCTGGGGACCAGGCCAGCCCGGCAGCAAGGGGACCTGGCCGGGGCCTGGTGCCGCGGCTGGCGGTCGTCCTCGATGACCCCTTGATAAAGCGGTGCCCCAATGGACTGAAGCGCTTTCCTTGCCGAGTCGGGTAGCTGGGTCGGGGGTCGGGGGAGGGCGCCTGTGCTTCGGAGGCTCGGCCCGCCCCCACAGCCTGAGCAGAGAGCCTTGGTCTCCAGGGCTTACGCCACCAACAGGCTGGCCATCTCTGAGGCCTTGCCAAGAGAGACGGGTCTGCCCTCGGGGCTGCAGGAAGCTCACGGACCCCCGCTGAGGGCATGGGCCTCCCACCCAGGGCGTCCGAGCGCCACCCTGTGACCCACGCAGCAGCAGGCGCTTCGGATACCACTGAGACGGGGCCGCCAAGGGCCGAGCCCCGTGGCCGCTGGCACTGCTCAGACGAGTTCCACCTCCCTTCGTCCAGCGAGAACCCGGGGAAACGGAGGCCGGCTGAAGGGCACGCCTGGGGCGTGGGGGCCGCGGGGGTCTGAGGAAAGGAGGGTGGCTCGCACTCCCCAGCTGGAGGGACTGGCCTGGGAGGCGGTGCCGCCGGAGTGGGAGCCGAAGTGGGCCTTCAGGGAGGAAGTGGTCACGGTCCCTGCTGGGCCCACAGGGCAACGGAGAAGAGGCCCAGGAGCAGCCAGCGCGTCTCTTAGGAGCCTGTGCCAGGCCCTGCACAGGACTTCGCCCACTGGCTTCACCTGCAGCTGTTTCAGGTTCCCGCCCATGTGACCACCCAGGGCCCAGCAGAGTCGCCGTCATTACAGTACCCACTTGTGTTCAGGGGTGAGCCCTTCAGACACCCCCGGAAGCAGCATGAACAGCCTACTGAACCCCCATTTGGCTCCACTTGGGCTGCCATGGTGCTCAGCGCGTGGGCAGTGCTTCATCTGCACCCCCACGGCGCCACACGTGAAGTGCGCGTCCCCTTAGTCCCTCCGCCAGTGCGCTGGGCCTTGGGGCCCCCAGCAAGAGAGGACCGACAGGAGAGGGGCCACCGCTGCTCTGGCCATCCCTGGGCTGGCCCCTCGAGGCCACAGTAGGCTTTGCGGCTTGTCTCAATGAGAGAAGCCTGGGAGGGTTCAAGCCCCGACTGCCTGGGCCAGACGCTGTGACGCGCTGGGAGCCCCAGTGGCAACACCCAGCCACCTGCCCCCCGCCAGGGCTCCTGAGCATCACTTACAGGCGCAAACAGCAGGTCAGCTTTAGCCGCCCCTCGCCCAGCACAGGCCAGGAGGCTGATGGGGCAGGGGCGGCCTAAAGGGACGCAAGGCTTCCTGCCTCCTGCAGCCCTAGCGGGGTGTCACCCCCAGGTCCACCCTTAGGTTAGGACATCACTGGTCACGAGCGCCAGACTCCCAACCCAGCGTGGCATAAGCGAAAGCAGAGACGACAGGATGAGCGGTCACCATGACCCCACACGCCAGTGACCTCGCCTAGTAAGGTCGGGGGACCCCGTCCCTGGGCGTGGCTTGTCTGCTGGCTCCCTGTGCAGACGCGCGCTCTCGCTCAGGTAGGGGAGCTCTGGCCGAAGTCTCAGTTCAGCAGCCCCAGCAAAAAAGCCCGAGGTCCAGACTGTGCGGGCTGCTCGCACTGGGCTGTTGTGGCTTGGACTGGCTACACCCAGGCATGTCCCCAGCCCCTAGGCCGACCCTGGGATCATCCACAAGGCAGCCTTGGGGACCCAGGACAGAGAAGGGATGGTCCCCCCAGAATACTAAGGTGTGCCCTGATGCTGGGCGGGTGACAGTGACAGCTACCACTCCATCGTCCCTGTAAATCCCAAAGGCCTTCTGCGCGTGCACACACACGTCTGCTGTGTATCAGAGCACCCCAGAGCCCTGCCCAAGGAGGGGGCGCCTCGGGTCACACAGGTCCTTCAGTTTGGCCGCCACTCTCCTTTTTTTTTTTTTTTAAACATCTTTTTTTTTTTTTTAATAGAGGCATGCTTTATTTATTTGTTTGCTGGTTTGTTTGTTTGTTTGTTTTTTGTTTATACAAGCACTGGGTACAGTCAGAAGCGCGGGAGGGCGAGAGAATTCACCAGAGCCAGAGCGGGGAGCAGAGCAGGCAGAAGGACCGAAGGACACTGCTGAGGGGAGCGGCGGGCGGCAGGAGAGGTCTGCGCGCCATGTGGGACCCTCCTCTGGTGGCCGGGGAGCGGCCGGGGATCGAACCGGCGCCGCAGAGGCCGCGGGCAGCTTCGCCACCCAGCGCTCAACCGCTGCGCCACCGGGGAGGCCCCGCCACTCTCCTTTGTTGCATCTGCTCCCAGTCCTGAGAACGTTCCTCTTGGAACTCGATCTTGACAAATTTATAGAGCCTCTTCCTACTGTTCTGAGGCATTTTTTTTTTTTTTTTTTTTTTTTTTTTTGTGGGACCCTCGCCAGCAGCCAGGGATCGAACCGGCGCTGCAGAGGCTGCGGGCAGCCTCCCAGCCCAGCGCTCAACCGCTGCGCCACCAGGGGAGGCCCTCTGAGACAAATTTTTTTTTTAAAGATTTATTTATTTATGTATACAAGCACTGGGCACAGTCAGAAGCGCGGGAGGGTGAGAGAATTCACCAGAGCCAGAGCGGGGAGCAGAGCAGGCAGAAGGACCGAAGGACACTGCCGAGGGGAGCAGCGGGCGGCAGGAGAGGTCTGCGCGCCATGTGGGACCCTCCTCTGGTGGCCGGGGAGCGGCCGGGGATCGAACCGGCGCCGCAGAGGCTGTGGGCAGCTTCGCCACCCAGCGCTCAACCGCTGCGCCACCGGGGAGGCCCTCTGAGGCAAATTTTTTAATCCCCTGAACCAACCACATTGTCTTGTCTTTAAGTTAGCTGCCCCTTTTATTCTGCAGAGAAAACCACCAAATTCCCTCATGACACCCAACCAGCCCCCTCTGACTTCTCAGGGAAAGCTGGAGCGACTGACGATAATAGAGAACTCCTTACTACCACCCTCTCCTCAACACCCGACACCCAGTCCCATTCAGTTGGAATCAAAACACAGGTGTCCTCTCCGGGTGCCAACTGACCCGTTCCCCTTCTCCCTCTAGCCTGTTTCATGGGGTTCTCAAAGCCGCCGCACCCCCTCTTCCCCATGGCCCTTTTCCAAAGTGCACTCTTCAATACAGCCTCTGCCACCTGCTTCCAGCAGAACCCCTCTGCCCATCTGAGAGAGAGGTATGATCGCCCAAGGGTACCAGCTGTCTTCCCACCCTAACAAATGCCTTCTACCTTTCTGGCTCTGGGAGGGTTCAAGAATAGCCTAGCGGGGGCCTCCTGGCAGCGCAGGGGTTAACTCTCAGACTATGAAGCTCCTGACAGCCAGCCAGAGTGCGATCCTGGCCAGGGAGCTGATCCGCCTGTTCTGCTCCCCACTCTGTCTGTGGTGAATCCTCTCAACCCCTGCATCTCTGGCTTATATCCCAGCTTTTGTATGCAAAGATAAATAAAATTTTTTTTTAAAAAAGAACAGCCTAGAGAGCTATGGCCCCTTGAATGCTCTTGATCACAGACGTAAACCCTGAGCATATACCCGACGCCTGCAGATCTGCTTACATAATATATGGCCATAGGAATCCAAAGTTTAGAACACACATTTTAGAATTCATTGAAAAGAAAGTGTATTGAAGTGAATTAAACAGATTTATTAAAGTTACTTGAAATTAAACACTTAAGTTTTGGGACATTCGCAGTGATGCCATAGGCACCTCCCATGTACACTCCCTACCCACAGGTTTGGGCACCCCCGCCTTTCGCCATATTGCCAAGGGGCCCTGTCAGAGCAGTGGGCAGCCACTGGCCTGCTGGCAGACGGATTCCAGCAGCTCCCACAGCCTTTGGGGACACAGAAACCCGCTTCCACACTGCAATGGTTCACTGCCTTCTGAGTTCCAAGGTCCCTTCTACACCCTCAGCACTTTTTTTTTTTAACCTCTCCCCATGACATTTTTTCAATGATAAATACAGATATCAAAACAAGCCTGAACAAATCTTCGATACTGCTAATAGCACCTACGCGGCTTCGGAAAGTAACACAATTTGCGACACATACAACTTACCTGCCACTTTGGGCCATTTAAACTGCAGCTTTTTTCTAAGCAAGAAGGGTAAGGCATGGCGTTCTGCTTCTCCTTTCATAGATTGTGCTTTTCAGAAAAACACGTGCTTCCACAGCCTCAATCCTTCCAGTCATCCTTTCATCTTAGAAATCTGAGTTCTACTTTTGGGCACCCCAGGTTTATGCGTGGAGGACAGAGCCCTAGCGAGAGAGAGAATGTGCTTTTTTCCTCCGTTACCTGAAAACACAATGGGTGGACAGGTCAGTTTTATTCTTACAAGTGTCCAGGCCGGGCCTCCCCTGGTGGCGCAGCGGTTGAGCGCTGGGCTGCGAGGCTGCCCGCAGCCTCTGCAGCGCCAGTTCGTTCCCCGGCCGCCGGCGAGGGTCCCACAAAAAAAAAAAGTGTCCAGGTCATCGTGGGTATCAGCTAGAATTCTTTTACTTAATGGGGGCGGGGGAGGTCTTTTACATTGTGATATTTAATCAAGACGTTAACACGAGTAGACAGCTGTTAAGACAACTTTGAGATCCACTAAAAGCAATTATTGTATGTTGGTCCTTCTGGTGGCTGTGGAAGCTTCCGCTTTCCTTTGGGCATCACTGGACAGCTGAGCTCGAGGTACAACTTTAATGCTATACGAATCTTGCCATTTTGCTAACACTGGTGTGCTCCGTGCACCTGCCATTCCACCGGAATTATTGATCCCACTCGCGTTAATTTTGGTTACAAATCTCACTGCAGGAGGCGTCTGGGTACTGAGGTCGGCCTTGTACTTTCAGACTATATAACCTGTTTTCCTCGTTTGCCCTCGGCGGCCCAATAATCGTGTCTCTCCGCCTCGCCAGTGCCAGGCCGTCGTCTAACCGCACCGTCGCTCACTTCTCGTCCATCTTCCAACAAGCGAAAACCACGAGGACTTGAGCTCCCAAGGAGACCGCCACCATCCCCAGCAGCTCCTCTCAGCTCCCCCCTGCCTTTTCCCGGAAGCCTCCGAACTTGCTGCTGGCGCCAACCAGTCAGGTTAGGACAATGACGCCGGCCCCAACCCGGAGCGGGACTCCCCGGATCGAGCGCCGGCAAGGCCACTGCCAGGCGGCCGCGACCCGGAAGAGGGCCTGGCCGGCGCGCGTCGGCTCGTCGCTCCCAGAGACGTCACTTCCGGCAGTAAGCGCCCCCGGCCGCGAGTGGTAAGTGGGTCGCCGCGGGGGAGGCGGGCCGGAGGCGGGGCGAGGCGGGGCGGGGCGGGGCGAGGCGGGGCGGGGCGGGGCGGGGCCTGGGCCGAGCTCGCCGGCGTCCGCCAGCCGGTGGGCTCCGGCGGTGGCGCCGAGCTCCGGGCCGCGGCGGCAGGTCAGGGCTGGGGCTGGAGAGGGGCGGACGGAAGGCGGCCTCCGGCCCGGGCCCCGCTCCGAGCTCTCCCGCTCCGGCGGGTCGTGTCGGCTGCGGGCGGCCGTGCGGGCCCGGTGGCGGCGTGCCCTCCTTCCGTCCCGCCCGGGTTCGCGCCCGAGCTCTGCCTCTGCCCAATCCCCCACTGCTTGCGGAGTCTGGGTAGGGAGGAGCCCGGAGCCGAGCTCCCCTTACACCGGACCCTGGGTGGGTGGAGAGGCCGCGCGCCGGATTCCCTCCCCGCCTGGGGGCTTATCCGCTCGGACTCTTCCCACCCCGCAAGCAGAAAAGATGTGGGATCAGGGCCAACCCCCTCTGGCAGTGACTCCAAGCCGTCAGCCCCACTGGCGGGACAGGATGGCGGGTCCTTAGTCCCCTCTCCCTTCTGCACTGGTTCAGCCGCTGCCCCCGTGGCTTCAGTCCCGATATCTTCAACTTCCCTCTGACTCTCTCCACTTTGCTCCTCACACTCCCTCTGGTTTTCCTGCCGCCCTCTTCAGCGGTGGGACACGGGCTGGACCTGGGCCACCAGGGTAAGTGACCCAAAACCCAAGCAGCAGACGCCACGGCAGCCCAGGGGGTGTGTGGAGGGAAGAACCTTCCCAGGAATGAGGCTTTTGCTTGACCTACCTTCGCCCCTTCCTTCCCTGACCCCCAGTCTCAGGTGAGGGGCGCCAGGGCCCAGACTGCAAGGCTCTTCCAGGATCGGGACCCTGCTGGGCCTGATGTGACCAACAACAGTGATGTAACACCACTGTGTCCCCATCCTGGTCACCCCAGTTTCAGCAGGTTGACAAGAGGGTGGTGCCTGCTGTGACTGGGGAGTGGAAGGAAGCAGTCCTCCTCCTTTCGCCCTGCGGCAACCTCTTGCCCAGAAACACCCTCCGTCCCACTGGCAGTTCCAGACTCTGATAAAGGAGCAGGTGGGCGTGGGTAGGAGCACCTGGACTCCCAGCAGAGGTGACACAGCAGTTCTCGGAGCTCAAATTCTGGGACCACCAGAGGAGCCAGAGCTGACAAAGAGGCTCCCCAGCTGACATGGGGCCAGGAATGACCCCCTCTTGCTGCCCCTTCTGGCAACTTCCCTGGGGCGAGAGAACCTGCTCCCCACAAGCACCCCCATCTCATCGTTGTGGGCAGGTAGGGTAGACCAGGTAGCCTCGGCAGCAGGGTACCAGCTGTGTCACTACAGCCCTCAGCCCCTGGGGCCTTTAACCCTGCGGTCACCCACTGCCCGTGTGCCACTTTGCCGGCCACTTTCTGCCCGACAGGTGACTCTCGGATGCCCTGCCCTTGGCTCTCCCTGGTCTCCTTGTCCGCGGACAAAACTCAAGAGTTCACCCCCAGTAGTGGGAACTGCATCCCCTGCGGCTGCGCCTGGAAGCTGCTGGGGACAGGCTCTCGGGGACAGGACTAGGATGGGGATGGTGCCACCTGCTCCTGCTGCACTGGGCAAGCCAGGGGATCGGCAGGTACAGGCAGCTGAAGGGAGGCTCCTGTCTGGACACGGCCTCTGAATGAGGGGTGGGAGGTGGGAGGCAGTTGTGTTGGGGAAGGGACAGTCGAGTGGCCATCACAGGCCAGCTCGACATCTGGCCTTTACCTTCCTGGGTCGGGGCAAGGACAGGGCTCTCCAGCCACCTTTGTGTGTCCCTTTCTCCCCAGGAGGAGCTCTGCCATCCAGGACAGCCACACAGGGCCAGGCCCCGCCCATGGACCCTTGTCAGGATGACCTGCAGGCCCCAGCAGGACTGCCCTCCTAAGCCGCAGAGGACTGGGGCACGCCAGGCTTCGGGAGGAGCGATGGTATTACGCAGGGTCCGGATTGGGGGCACCTCCCAGCAGTGGCCTGGTCCGGGAGGCTGCAGCCAGCGTACAGGCTCAGTCAGCCTGTTGAAGGTCGTGCTGTTGCTCATCAGCCTGCCGTGGGGGGCCCGGGGGTCAGCCAGTGCCAACCTCAGCATGGCTCTAAGCCACACCGTGCCACTGCCCGGGGGCCACTACTTGAGCATTGGGGATGGCTCCGTGATGGAGTTTGAGTTCCCTGAGGAGAGGGAGGGCATCATTGTGATCTCAAGCCAGTACCCGGTGCAGGGCAACAGGACAGGGCCTGGTCCTGTGCTGAGGGCCTTCTCCCTGGACACAGAGGTGCTGACCATCCAGAATGTGAGCACCATGGCCTGGGGCGGGGGTGGGGGCTTCGTGGTGAACATCCGCTCCCGTCTGCCCGGGCTGGCCCCGCTCCGCCTCCAGCTGGTAGACCCCCAGGAGACCCCACCTAAGCTGATCGAGGAGCAGAGAGATTTCTGCATCAAGGTCTCGCCTGCTGAGGATCCGCCTGCTGCCCTCAGCACAGGGCTAGTCCATTTCTCGGAGAACCCCGTTCTCTACCTGCTCTTGCCTCTTATCTTTGTCAACAAGTGTTCGTTTGGGTGCAAAGTGGAGCTGGAGGTTCTGAGGGGGCTCCTGCAGAGCCCCCAGCCCGTGCTCCTGGGACTCCTGGGCCAGTTCCTGGTCATGCCCTTGTACGCCTTCCTGATGGCCAAGGTCTTCATGCTGCCCAAGGCCCTGGCCCTGGGCCTCATCATCACTTGCTCGGCGCCTGGTGGCGGGGGGAGCTACCTCTTCAGCCTCCTCCTTGGAGGGGATGTCACCTTGGCCATCTCCATGACATTCATCTCTACAGTGGCTGCCACTGGCTTCCTGCCATTGTCTTCAGCTGTCTACAGCCACCTGCTCAGCATCCACGAAACCCTCCACGTGCCTGTCTCCAAGATCCTGGGGACCCTGCTGTTCATCGCCATTCCCATAGCAGCAGGCGTGGTGATCAAGTCCAAGCTCCCCAAGTGCTCCCAGCTGCTGCTGCAGGTCATCAAGCCCTTCAGCTTCGTGCTGCTCCTGGGTGGCCTCTTCCTGGCCTACCGCATGGGGGTCTTCATCCTGGCGGGCGTCAGGCTGCCTATCGTGCTGGTGGGCCTCACGGTGCCACCAGTCGGCCTGCTGGTGGGTTACTGCCTGGCCGCCTGCCTGAGGCTGCCCGTGGCCCAGCGGCGGACGGTCAGCATCGAGGTGGGAGTGCAGAACAGCCTGCTGGCCTTGGCCATGCTGCAGCTCTCCCTGCGCCGCCTTCAGGCAGACTATGCCTCCCAGGCCCCCTTCATCGTGGCGCTTGGCGGCACCTCGGAGATGCTGGCCTTCGTCGTGGGCCACTTCATCTACAGCAGCCTGTGGCCAGGCCACTAAGGCCCTGGGGCAAGCTTTCGCCACCCCACCTGCACACCCACCCACGGGCCCTGTGTACCAAAGGCCTTTAGTTCTCATGCACTATGCACTCGGAAAAATCCAGGCTTATTTTTTTTACTGTTTTGTATTCTCCAGCTTTCAGGAGGCCACGCTGATCGCAGGTGGGCCCCGCCCAGAAAATATACTTCAATAAAAGAAACAAGCAACTCGGGTCCCTTTAGTCTTTGCCCTCTGGGCCGGGAGGGGGGCGGCGGGAGGCGGGTGGCCGGGAGCTGCGGGCCTGGGCGGAGACTGGTGTGGGGACGGGGCGGCCTGCCCAGCCCTGCCTCCACGGACACCCCTCTCGACCGGCGGGCCCCCGGGCTCTGGGGCGCGCCCGAGCGGGAGAACGAAGCAGAGGCCTAGCTCCCGGCCCGTGCTCCACCTCGGCTGCTTCCCCGCCAGCCAGCAAAGGGGTGACCCAGCCGCGGTCGGACTCCGGAGCCCCCGCCGGGGGTGGGCCCCGCCCGGCTCCTCCCGCAGCCCCCGAGCTCGGGCGGGGGGCTCGGGCCTCCCGCGCTCAACCGCCCCCTGGAGCCGCTCTGGCCCCGGCCTTTCCTCTCCCGGTCCCGGCGAGAGGCCGCGAAAATCTGGCGGGCGGGCGACGCGCTCGTGAGGCGGGACCCGAGGGTGCTCCTCCCCGGGCGGGGCGGGCGCCGGGCGCGCCCCTCTCGCGGCTTCCGGCGGCGGGCGGTTCCGGCGCGCGCCCGGGGCGGCGGCGCGCGGCGGGGCGGTGGGCGTGCGTACGGGCCGCAGTGGACGCCGCGCGGTCGCCATGCAGCTGACGGTGAAGGCGCTCCAGGGCCGCGAGTGCAGCCTGCAGGTAGCTCGCAGGGCCGGGCCGGGCCGGGCCGGGCCGGGCGAGGGCGGGGCCGGGGAGGCCGGGCGCGGGGGCCGCGAGCGCTGCCCCGCCCGGGACCCGCGGGCTCAACCCCGCTCCCACCCTCGGCCCGGCCAGGTGTCGGAGGACGAGCCGGTGTCCGCGCTGAAGCAGCTGGTGGCGGAGAAGCTGAACGTCCCCGTGCGCCAGCAGCGGCTCCTGTTCAAGGGCAAGGCCCTGGCAGGTAACCGGGGACGGAGACGCCCGGGGCGCCCCGCGGGCCGGTTCCGGCCAAGTGTGACCCCGGGAAGGTGTTGGCCCCTTCCAGCCCGAGCCGCCTCCCCGGGCCACCCGCCGCTGGGCTGACCAACTCCCGGACACTCTCTCCGGCAGATGGGAAGAGACTCTCCGATTACAGCATCGGGCCCAATTCCAAGCTCAATCTAGTGGTCAAACCTCTAGAGAAGGTGTCGCTGGAAGAAAGTGCTGCCAGGAGGCCCGGTGAGGCCCCGCCTGCACCCCCACCCGCCTGGCCGCTGGTGGCCAAAGTGCTGGCCCGCCACTTCAGCGCGGCAGATGCCAGCAGAGTCCTGGACCAGCTCCAGAGGGTGAGAAGGGCAGCCCACCCCCTTGCTAGCTGCTCCTGGCCAATGCCGGCCCCACGTCCCCCGCTGGCGCCCCCTGAACCTCCTGGCCTTCTTTCCTCAGGACTATGAGAGGTCTCTGAGCCGCCTGACCCTGGATGACATCGAACGCTTGGCCAGCCGCTTCCTGCACCCTGAAGTGACGGAGGCTGTGGAGAAGGGGTTCCCCAAATAGGATTCTCCGGGCGTGGGGAGGCGTCCCATCAGGCCGCCAGCTGCATGTAGCATTAAATGTCTTCTCCTCTGGCGATGTGGCTCGTGGTGACGATAGCCGCCGGGCCCCTGGGCCTGGCTCTCCATAGGTGCCAGGCGCCACTCAGAGTTCTTCATCTGGGGTTGCTCCCTCAGGCAGCACAAAAGGTGAGACAGCGAGGCCACGGGGAGCGAGTGGGGGTGCCCGACCTGAGTCCTGCCAGTGTCTAGAAGTGCCTCAGGGTGAGAAGGGGAAAGGGACTCTGGAAGGCTCCAAGAGATGGGCTTGGGATTTCGACTTGAGCCCACAGAGTATAAACCCTCGCAGGGCGCCTTCCCAAGAGCGGAGCAGCAGCTGGCCCCTGCTGCCCAGCCCCATCACCTGACCTTGCGCAGGAGGCCAAGTGACGCTCAACCCGGGGCCCCCACAGCAGCAGCTGCCTGCGCGCCCATGGAAAAGCAGGTTGGGGCATCAGGGGTGTACATGGGCCCAGACAAGTTGACTCTGCCTCACTGCGAGGGCCACAGCTTAAACCCCAGTTTCCTTCGCCCCTCCTCCAGCTCAGACCAGGGGCTCCGCACCCACCCCCTCCTCCTGTTTCATACACAAACAGGCCTCGAGCAGCGCTCCAGCCAGGCATGGCGCAGAGACGAGGCGTCCTGGCTCCTGGCATTGCAGCAGCCCCTGGGCGCCTCCTCTGCCTGTCTTCTCCCGGACAGGGGCTCTTCTCGCCGCTCAGGTGGCAGGTGGCTGACATGAGGCCACTCCGCAAGCGGCTCCCCAGCTCAGCCTTGGCGCCCCTGCCGGCCCACAGCACGGAGTGGGGCGCTTCTCTGCCGCGTGCGTGGACAGGGCTTCCACTGGGCGCAGCCCTCACTGCCTGAGAGAGCTCGGGATGCGGGGGTAGGCAGAGCATAGACTGGGCAACCCCAGTTCTCCCCCTGCGTTGTGCGGGGGCACCAGAGGCCATGTAGGCGCCTGTTCCTCTTCCGAGGGCACCCCGGGCAGCAGAGGCTGGAAGGGAGCCGCTGCGCAGGACGCCAGGAAGACGGACAGACGCGCGGCAGTCGAAGGCTTCAACGAACAGATGAAGCCCTGGCCTCCCCAGGGCTGGGCCCACCTAGCCGCGGCCGGGCAGCTCAGCGACTTCCCAGTGCTTTTCTTTTGAGTCAGGAAATGTGTGTTGAAATTTCAGGTAGCTCTAAAGGTGAGTGCGAACCTTTGACTTCTATCCGGAAGAAACTATGCCAGGCGCCTTCTGGCCTCCAATGACTGGTTCCTCCATAGAGGAAACTGTTCAACAATAAAGGAAACGGATTGGCTCACAAGGCTGAGAAGTCCAAGGGTATTGGCAGATGCGCTTTTCACCAAGTACCTGGTTTCTTCCTACCTCCCCTCTGCGTTCTGTGGTGCCTGCATCGTCCGGCTTAGGGACCCAGAGACAGCCGCCTGCCGGTCCCCCAGTGCCCGCCGCGGTGAGCTGCTTGCTCAGATGCCCAGCAAATAAAAGCTGTCCTCTCAGTGCTCAGAAGGGGGCTGTGCCTGCAGTCATTGGCGCCTGGGCAGGGGTGAGCAGGAGAACAGCTCTGGTCTGGCGGAGGTTGTGCGCGTAGAGGGGCAGTCAGATTTGGGGAGAGCTGAACGGTGGCCCCAAACAGCAACTCTGCTGCAGGGGAGCGACAGCCCGGAGCCTTCCAGACACACTCTGGAGATGGTCACTGAGCAGCGCCTCCCGGGCCTGGGTGACAGCACTCTGCAGGGTAGGTGCTGTGTACTGGGTGACTGTTCCCAGGTGTTGGTGCCCCAAAGGGGCAAAGTCCAGGGTGTTTGCTGCAGCCACACCAGCCAGGACCCAGTATCCGGCTGGGCTATCCCAGAGGCTTTGAAAGGGAGGCAGCTGGCTCTTGAGGAATTGCAGCGTTGGAGACACCAGGGCCCAGGGGCATCCCCACCGTGCCCAAGGGAGACTTGGTGTAGGAATCAAGGAGACATTTCCAGAAAGGGGAGGGGGTCCAGCGCTGCCAAGAAGCTATGTGTGGGCAGGGCGGAGCCACCTCTCCGGCCTTGTTGGGGTGAGAAGTGGCAGCAGGAGTGAGGACAATGACAGTGCCCCTGTGGCAGGAGTAGGGAGGGCACGCCATGAGGCCCCGGCAGGAAGGGGCATCGCGAGAGGAGACAGAATGGCATGTGGAGATGGAGCAGCCAGAGGCTACACCTGGTCTCTGCGCCTTGACACTGGGGGCGGCCCTAAACACAAACACCCACCCCAGGCGGGGTGGTCACAGCAGGCACTGACCCCTCTGAGCCAGGGGTCACCCAGCAGGTGGGGGCTAACTGGCCACTGTGGGGGGACGTGGTGCAGCTCTCAGGCCAGGCTGTCTGGTAACCCCTGCTGATGGCAGGACCCAAGCTAGAATGGCCGGAGACACAAACAGCTGCACCCGCCATCAGGTTGGGGGCGTTTCCCTGGGGCCCGGGGGATGGTGGACTCAGGATGGCAGCATTTGCTGGGAGCTGGGCCCCACTGAATTGGAGATGCCCTGGCAGCAGATTGGCTGTGCCCATAATCTGCCACCTCACAGGCCTCTGGTGCAGACCCGGCCAAAACCTGCTAAGGGGGCCTGCAGCTCCCGGGAGCGGGTACCACAGTCTGGGTGGCCTCCCTGGCACAGAACTGTGCTCCTTGCTCTCTGCCCTGCTCTCCGGCCTTTCCCACCTTCACTTCTCTGCTTGTTCCTCCCATTGCCTTTTGGTTCTTAAGTCCCTGCCAGCTGTTCACACTGGGGGGTACCCAGGCCTAGCCCACAGCCCTCCTCTGCCTCCCCTCACTGTCCTGCGCTCCCCTTGTGCTCACAGCGCCCTTTCTCCCGAGCACCTGCCCGTCTCTCTGGGGCCCAAGGGCACACAGGGCTTGCAGTTGGTAGCTCTGGGCCAGGCTTTTAATGACAGGAAGCCACCTGTGCCTCTCCTAGCTCAGCCTTCTCCACAGGCTAAGGCTGCCCCCCCCCCAATCAGTTGGTGTCCCCAAGGGAAAGGTGCACTTTCCCTTCCCTATGCACAAGGACTCCAGGCGCTTCCTGCAGACCTGAGGCAGCCTTATGTGACTCACCTCTGTTAGCCCAGACCAATGCCTCTGCCAGCCAAGCTGCCCTGGTGGCTGCAGAATGGCTGGCTGTTTTCTGGTTCTTTCTACTTATTCACCAGCATTTCTCTATGGGGACCTCTCCGTTCCTCCTTCTCTCTTGATTATCACAATAGATTCTCTCATTCAGCAACTTAAAATCCCTGAGTGGGGAGCCTCCCTGGTGGCGCAGGGATTAAGTCTCGCACTATCACACTACCACCAGCCACTGCAGCCTGAATTCCATCCCCAGCCAGGAAGCTGACCCACACAGCACAGCAGACCTCTCCTGTCTCCCCGCTGCTCCCCTCAGTGTATTTCAGTGGATCCAACTGTTCTGCTCCCCACTCTGTCTTGGGGAGTCCTCACACACCCCCCTCTGCACCTCTGGCCTGTACCCCAGTTCATCTATGCATAAAGAAATAATCTTTTTTAAAAACCCATGAGTGGGCAACCTTTATTTGGACTTCAGCGTGCACACAGTAAGGGACATAAGCCGAGCGTGCACTGCTCAGTGGAGTTTGAAAGTGAATACACCAAGGAGCCACTCCCCTGCAGAGCAGATAGGGAACCTTGCTGGCACCCCAGTGCCTGCCCTGCTGCCCCTCCTCATTGTCCTCTCCAGAAGATCTCACAGCCTTCCAGGGCTTAAGTTCTGCTAGATCGGCTCCCGGGCCCGCACCCTACACTTCACAAGGTGCTCCAGGCTCGTCTAGTACTTTTTTCTTGGCCAAGCTCTAGAGCCAGCCATTTCTTCAAGGAGCCCTGTTTCCTTTTAGTGGAGAACCTGAGCGTGCAACAAGGTCAGGGGCAGGGCGTGATCACAGCACTGGGTGTCACTGCTTCTAGACTCTAAGCAGACAGAGCTAGGAGACACATTTTCAAGAGTTCATACTGAGATGCCCCATAACAGCCCAGCAGCACAGTTTTTTCTCACCTTCCTTCCCACAGTGAGAATTCTGGCTCCTGACAACAGCGATATATTTATGCATTTGCCCTCCCAGATAAGAGTCTTTTGGAAAGTACATCCCAAATAGTCACACTCCCCTCGGCACTGCCGTGCTGACAGCAAACACGCTTAAAGTAGAATCAGTCTTCTCATCCTTAGGATGTATCCCACAAAGAACAGGCAGACAGCTGAGTTTGAAAGGCACCTGAATTATTTTCTGTGTTTTTTTAATTAAAAACCACCATCCAGGGCCTCCCCGGTGGCGCAGCAGTTGAGCACTGGGCTGCGAAGCTCCCCTTAGCTTCTGCAGCGCCAGTTCGATACCCGGCCGCCAGCGAGAGTCCCACATGGTGCACAGACCTCTCCTGCCGCGCCCGCTCCTCCCCTCGGCAGTGTATTTCATCGGTCTGCCTGTTCTGCTCCCCGCTCTGGCTCTGAATTCTCACCCTCCTGCACTTCTGACTGTACCCAGTGCTTGTATAAATAAATAAATAAATAAATATTAAAAAAAAAAAAAAAACACCATCCACTGTACCCTCTCTGCCCCTGCTCCCACTCCCACCCTGGTAACCTCAGCCCTGTCGTCAACTAGTATCTTTTTATTTCATTTTGTCTGTTCATCTGCTTTGTTTCCTTCCATTGCATATATAGGTGAAATCAGGCAATATTTGTCCTCCTGAATTATTTCACTTTGTATAGTCCCCAGTTCCTTCCATTTTGCTGCAAATGGCAAAATGTCTTCTTTTTACAGCTGAAACGGATGCCATTGTATATATGCACCATGTCTTCCTTAGCCAGTCTTCTCAGTAGGTACTCAGGTTGCGTCCATATCTTAGCTACTGCAAGTCATGCTGAAATAAGCACTGTGGCGCATACAATTGGAGTTGATGATTTCCAATTCTTCAAATAGATGCCCAGAAGTTTATTGCTGGATCATGAGGTAGCTCCGTGTTTAGTTTTCTGAGGAAGGTCCATACGGTTTTCCAAGATGGTTGTACCAATTTTATACCCATCATCAGCGTACAAGGGTTCCTTTTTCTACACACCCTCACCAACACTTGTTTCTAACTAGTCCTTTTGATGTAAACTGTTCTCCCAGGTGTGAGGTGATAGCTCATTGTGGTTTTGATTTGCATTTCCCTAATAAGTGATGATGAGACTTTTCTCATATGTCTGTTGGTCATCTGTATGTCTTCTTGGAGAAGTAGCCATTTAGCTTTTCTGCCCATTTTCTTTAGTTTGTTTTATTGTTGAATCACACAAGTTATTCATACACTTTGGCTATTAAGCCCTTATCAGATGAATATGAACAAATGTCTTCTCCCATCAGTAGGCTGCCTTTTTTTTCCTGCTAATATTGTCTTTCATTGTGCAGACTTTTTCATTTGATATAGTCCCAATTGTCTCTTTTGACTTTCATTTCCTTTGCCACTGGGCTCAACTCCCCACAGACATCTCTATTGCTGATATCATGGAACACAGCTCCTATATTTTCTTAAATATATTTTATGGTTTCTGGTATTTCATGAGGACTTTATTCCATTTTGAATTAATTTTTGTGTATGGAGTTAAAGAGTGATCTAGTTTTATTCTCTTGCATGTGGCTGTGCAGTTTTCCCAACATTTGATGAAGAGAATTACTTTCTTCATCATATGGTTATGGCTCCTCTGTCACAGATTAATTATTGATGCATGTGTGGGTTTATTTCTGGACTCTCCATTCTATTCCGTTGATCCGCGTGTCTCTTTTTATCCAATACCATGCCATTTTAGTTACTGTCTCTTTGTAATATACTTTGAAATTGTGTACTATGATGCCCCATTTTTCTTGTTTTTCTTGCCCCAATTTTCCTAATTTTTTCTCACTTGTTTATGTATACAAATGCAAGGTTTCTGTATATTGATTTTGAAACTGATACTTGACTGTATTTGTTTCTAACAGATTTTTTAATGGAGTCATTATATTCCACTATTATCATGCTGCAGATAGTGATAGTTTCAACTCTTCTTTTCCAACTCTGACTCCTTTTATTTAAGATTTTATTTATTGGGCCTCCCCGGTGGCGCAGCTGGATTGCAAAGCTGCCCGCAGCCTCTGCAGCGCCGGTTCGATCCCCGGCTGCTCCCCGGCCACCGGAGGAGGGTCCCACATGGTGCGCAGACCTCTCCTGCCACCCGCTGCTCTCCTCAGCAGTGTACTTCAGTCCTTCTGCCTGCTCTGCTCCCTGCTCTGGCTCTGGTGAATTCTCTCACCCTCCCGCGCTTCTGACTGTACCCAGTGCTTGTATAAATAAATAAATCTTTAAAAAAAAAAAGTAGTTTCTCCCTCTTAAAAAAAAAGATTTTATTTATTTTTATTTTTTGCATAGAACTGGGGTATGGGCCAGAGGCACAGGAGTATGAGAATTCACCAGAGACAGAATGGGAGCAGAATAGGCAGATATACTGAAATATACTGCTAAAGGGAGTAGTGGGTAAGATAGGAGAGATCTGTCTGCAGGGACATGTGTGTGTCAGCTCCCTGGCTGGGGCTCGAACTCAGGCCATAGCGTTGAAAGTGCTGAGACTTAACCCCTAGGCTACCAGGATGACCCTCCTTTCATTTCTTCTTGTCTAGCTGCTCTAGCTAAGACCTCTAGTACTAAGTTAAATAGAAATGCTGAGAATGGAGAAGCTTGGCCTTAAAGGAAAACCTTTTGAATATCACTTTTGATATATTAGCTGGGGATGTGTAGCATATGGCTTTATTGTGTTGACATATGTTCCTTCTATTCCCATTTTACAGGGTTTTTTAAACCATAAATGTGTGCTGAATCTGCATTGATGTGTGTGTTTTTGTCATCAATTAGATAAGCAATTAGGCTGATTTCTGTCTATTTAGTTTCAGTATTTTTCAACAAATATTTTTGAACATATAAAAATTTTTTTAAAGATTTATTTTTATACAAGAGCTGGGGTGCAGGCCAGAGGTGCAGGAGGGTGAGAGGATTCACCAGAGACAGAGCGGGGAGCAGAACAGGCAGAGGGACCGAAGTACACTGCTGAGGGGAGCAGTGGGTGTGGGAATCTCCCTGGCTGGCCAGGATGGAACTGGCATTGCAGAGGCTGCAGACAGCTTCACAGCGCTGTGCTCAACCCGCTGTGCCACTGGGGAGGCCCTATAAAATATTTTTGAACATATAAAAATATTTACATGAGTTAAAAGTCTAAATTATAGGGCCTCCCCGGTGGCGCAGCGGTTGAGCGCTGGGCTGCGAAGCTGCCCGCAGCCTCTGCAGCGCCGGCTCGATCCCCGGCTGCTCCCCGGTCAGCAGTGAGGGTCCCACATGGCGCGCAGACCTCTCCTGCCGCCCGCTGCTCCCCTCAGCAGTGTACCTCGGTCCTTCTGCCTGCTCTGCTCCCCGCTCTGGCTCTGGGGGATCCTCTCACCCTCCCGCGCTTCTGACCGTACCCAGTGCTTGTATAAATAAAACAAACAAATAAATAAAACATGCCTCTAAAAAAAAAAAAAAAAAAAAGTCTAAATTATATAAAAAAAGGTATAGTCCAAGAAATTCCATCTCCATCTCAACCCCCTGTAAATTACCATTTTCTTTCCTTTAGTGTTTCTCCTTCCTATGGCTTCCTCCTCCCCCACTAAGTGTGTGTGTGTCTGAGAGTATGTGTTCCTTTGCACTGTACTTTTTTCATATAACAATTTACCTGCAAATCATTTTTTTTAAAGATTAATTTATTTATACAAGCACTGGGTACAGTCAGAAGCGCGGGAGGGTGAGAGAATTCACCAGAGCCAGAGTGGGGAACAGAACAGACAGAGTGACGAAGTACACTGCTGAGGGGAGCAGTGTGCGTGGCAGGAGCGATCTGTGCGCCATGTGGGACCCTCGCTGGCGGTCGGGGATGTAACCGGCGCTGCAGAGGCTGCGGGCAGCTTCGCAGCCCAGCGCTCAACCGCTGTGCCACCGGGGAGGCCCCAAATCATTTTTTTATTAAGAGATTTCCATAGCTTTGCTGCCGCTTTTAGGAGTGTTGTATGAGTGTGCCATGGTTTATTTGACGAATGCCCTGCTAATGGACACTGTGTTCATATAGTTTCATGTTATCAACTATGATATAGCGGCTTTGTAAATAGTGTTTCACATTTTTCCGTAGAACTGGGGTGTAGGGCAGAGGTGCGGGCGGAGGGGGCGGGGTGAGAGGATTCACCAGAGACAGAGTGGGGAGCAGAAGAGGCAGATCCACTGAAATCCACTGCTGAGGGGAGCAGCGGGGAGGCAGGAGAGGTCTGCTGCGCCCTGTGGGTAGCTCCCAGGTGGGGTTAGAACTCAGGCTACAGTGGCTGGTGATAGCTTGATAATGGTGAGACTTTAACCCCTGCACCACCAGGGAGGCCGTGATTTAGGGTCTATTTGAGGGGAGAGCTGACAGGACTTAGAGACCTGGGCCAGCTTCCGCTCGGCCTTGTGATTGGAAAGCAGGAAATCAGAAGCAGCCCAACCCTCGCCGTCGGGCCCGCTCCCTTACGACGGGTGGCCCAGAAGGGCACACTGTGAACAATTCGGGGGGCTCCGGGAGAAGGACGCTGCAAACCGGCCCCAATGCCAACCCGCGGGGGGGCCCCTCAAGCGCTCCAGGGCACCGCAGGAAACGCGGCTCCCACGGGACTGTGCGGGGCCTCCCGCGGTGTCAGTGCCGATGTGACCCGTGGGGGCGGGGGGCCGAGCGGGGCCCCGGGGGCTGTCCACGCTCCCCCGTGCCCCGCGATGGCGCCCGCACGGCGTGCCTTGCGGGGCCGGCGGTTTGCTGAGGTGCCTGGGGGGGGGGGTCACATGGGCCCATGGGGCGGGGCTTGGCGCATGCTCACTGGCCGTGGTGCCCGTGGGGTCCTGGCGACGCGGGGTGTTTGCGCAGGCGCATTAGGGTCACCACGTTCCAAGGAGGTGCGCCCAAAGGGATGCGCCTGAGGGGCCGCTAATTGGCTGGGAAGCTGCGGCCTCTGGGGCACCCCGGACGCAGCGACAGCAATGTTCGCGGAGATGCCCCGTGAGTCCGCAGGAGATTGTGCGTCACGCGTGGCGCGAGGGGTGCTCACCCGATAGGCAACCAGGGCTCGCCCGGGCCCGCGGGCATCAAGGTGGGCTCGGCGGAAGCGATACAATGTATGGCGGCATCTCCAGAAGCTGCTGCATACAGGCCAACTAGTGGGTCCAGCTCCCGTCCCCCGGAGGGAGGAAACCTCGCGGAGGCGCCTCAGTGTTCCCGGCGGCTGACGGGAGCGCCTGGCCGGGCGCGAGTCGCGGGGTGGTCGAAGGCAGGAAGGCGGGAAGCGGCCACGCGCCGCCAACGTCTCGGACCCTGTGTGCGCAGGCGCGGAGGGGCGGTGTCGGCGCGGGGGGGGTGGAGCCGGCGGACGGAGCGAGCGGCTCTCTGGGGGCGGAGTCGGAGGCGGAGCTCGGCGGCGATGCTGGCGGCGGGCGCAGGCGCGGGCGGCGCCGAGGGCTCGGACGACCTGGCGGCCCCCGGCAGTCCTGGTGGCGCGGGAGCGGCCGCCGCGGGTGCCGGGGGAATTCCGCGCATCGGGCGAGGCCTGCACGCCCCGGGCCCGGGCGGAGACGCGGCTTCCAGAAGACCGGGACACCGGCTGCACATACTGTAGCCTGCCCCAGGGGGCAGCCGGCGCGGCCGCTGGGGCGGGTCGGGAGTGGGAGGATGGACAGGCTGGGGGCCTGGAGAAGCGGGGTAGCCCAGGCCGCCGGCAGGTGCGTTTTTAGGGCTGCTGAAGACGGAGAACCGGGGCGCCTGAGGGGCGGCGAAACGCGCGCAGAAAGGCGCTGAGGCAGCTAGGGGGCGGGCGGAGCGGGTGGCCTGGGGGGCGGGAGGAGGCCTGAGGGAGGAGATGAGATGGCTTGAGAGGGACCCGAAGCCCAAAATCGTGTGGATGTTGCCTTAACCGTACCCCACCAGCGCACTCAGCGTGCCTTTTCCATCTGCGCTGGAGGCGGAGATCGCCCGCGGGTCCCTGGCCCCAGATGCTGAGCCCCACGGAGCGGCGGTTCGGAAGGAGCTGGCGGTGACCGGCTGCGTCCTGGCAGTGTGAGTGCCACGCGGGGCCCGGTGGGCGTGGCAGCCAGCGTGCGCTCTGTCCGCTAGGGGCGCCCCGCGGGAGACTGGGAGGCCCTCGGGCGTGGGGCCGGGAGGCAGGGGTGCACCAGCCCGCCACCGCCCAAGGGGGCTCCTCGTGGGCTCGGTGCGGTGGCAGCCGGAGGGCTTGCCCGAGCAGGGGAGGAGTTACCACCGCCACTTGGATTTTCTTTCCTTCCCTTTTAGCCACTGGACAGCTGAAGATTCTCGCCTCCTCAGAATTTCCATCATCAACTTTCTAGATCAGCTTTCTCTGGTGGTGCGCACCATGCAGCGCTTTGGGCCCCCTGTTTCCCGCTGACCCCAGCCTGGAAAAGGGGCCTTGCGCGTACCCCGTGTCCCTCCCGAGGCATCCGTCCTAGGGCCCAGCTTCTTGCAGCACTTGCCACTTGGTTGCAGGGGCTTCATCTTTGGCGCTACTGGCCCGCCAGCACTCGGGTTCCCCACATTGTGTTTGCTGCTTAAATGCTAACTTCACAAAGTAAAACTGAGCAACTATTCTGTGTGTGTTTCTTTTCAAATACAGCGGCTCCAAATACTCTTGCCTTTGCCCTCAGAGGGAAGGTTGTACTCACAGAGTTCAAGGTCATTGAAGACAATTTAGGACATGGAAGAAAAGGATGAAAATAAACTGGGCCAGTGTTTTGAATGTGGTGACTATATAGCTTCTCTATAAAGTTCGGCATTACATTTTTAATTTTTTTTTCATTGAGCATGAGCTTTCCCTCTTCTTAAAGTCTTTAAAAACCATTGTGTTCAGATTCTTTTCAATTTTTGCTCCATTATAGGTAATGATTCGGTGGCATTCTTGTATACAAATTCTTGCATGAATGATTGTGTCCTTAGGTAGGCCTTAACAAGTAGAAATGCTATTAAAAATACTTTTTTTAAAAAGGTAGGCTTACTAACTGAACTACTCCGTGAGGTCAGGTCACTGTGGGAGGCGGCCCCTCCCTCCCTCCCGGCTCCGGGTCCCTCACCACTGCATCTCCTCAGTGAGGGATCTTAAGGCCCGCTCGGCCCGCAGGGGCCAGCCCCACAGAGGGAGTAGAAGCAGAGCTTGGGGCTGGCTTGGTTGGGAAGAAGAGGTGCTGGTGCAGGGCTTCAGCCTCCGGTGGGGGTGCTCCCTCCCCGGGATGTGGCCCTGCAGCCCGGAGCTCAGCCCTGGCAGCTGTCTTCCACAAGCAGGTGCACGTTTGCTCCAGGGCGGTCGTGTCGTCTCACCCTGTAGAGCCCACAAGGCACGGGCAGGCTCTCCATCTGCGGGCAGCGGGTGAAGGAGCGTCCTGTTGCCCTCAGTGGCTCTTTCTACCAGAGCCAGTCGTTCTACCGCGCCAGTCGTTGCGCAGCAAGCCCACAGGCTGGCAAGGCAGGGAGGCTGGCGGGCCTCCCAGCCCTGGCGAATCTCCACTCTCTGCTCGGGCTCCCCCTGGAGTCCTGCCCCTCTGCGGCCCCTCGTCCTCTCGTGGCCGTCTCGCCGCAGCCACCTCTGTGATGCCGCCCTCACAGCCCCAGGCGCATCCACTCACGCAGGCCCGCACCACGCTCCAGGTGCCCCCCATCGGGCCCGCGCGCCCCGGGTCCATGCTCCCAGGCGCCTCCTGCATTCAAGGCCGCAGGTGATGGCCACGGAGGCCACCGCTCACCCGACAAGCATCCCGCCGCTTTCCGCTTCCCCTCTGGTCCGGGGCGTTGGGCCAGGATGGTCTGCCGCTGTCCCCGGGAGCGCTCTGCTCTGACTGCGTGTCACCGGAGGCACCTGTCCCTGGGGGCCGGCGGCTCGGCGTTCCCGCACTCGTCCGTGACTGCGTCCTGCCGTGCCGTGAGGCCCCGTGAAGCTTAGGAGTCTTGCCTGGGAGGCGGGCGACATGCCCCCCGCAGTTCCCTCTCCACACTGCTGGAGCCCCAGGCCTGCTGACCCTTCCTCCCCGCCCGGGTGCGTCCCCCTGGTGCTGACCGGTGTTGTCGGGTCGGCCCGAGGGAGCCTCAGCACACACAGGGCTCTCCCTCCGCCCCGCCTCCCGCCCACGGCAGCTGCCGGCTCCGCCAGCCTGTCCCCAAGCGGGCACAGGGCGAACCCTCCAGGCCGCGAGCTGGGGCACTGGCGGGGCTCGCCTACCTGTCGTCAGCTCCCAGAGATCACGGTCCTTCACTGCCTGGCTACACTGTCTTGTCAGGTTTTGGGGGTGCTCCCAGTGGCAAGGCGAGTCCCCTCCTTGTCTCTGCAGATGCATGACACCCCGTTCAGGCATAAAGTCTAAGAGTTTTGGTCATCATGTACTGTCATGTAACCCCCACAATCTACAGCCATGGCGCCATGATGGACTGCTGAGGCTGTGGGTGGCTTTACCCCCCCGGTACAGAACTCCTGTTCCATGCCTCCCCAGGGAACCCCTGCCCACCTCCTGCAAACAGGCCCATTCCTGCAAAAGGGCCCATCCATTTTCAGTGGCTCTTCCCCATCTGGAATTCTCTCAGGGCTCCAGCTGGCTCATTGAAATATCACCGCCGCCCCAAGCAAGGTACTCCTGGCCACCCTATTTTCAGTGGCACCCCACTTTATCCCCACCGGCTGCATGAGGTTAGCCAATGTGGAGGAGTGAGGTCGGGCACGCACCATGACTGTGATGCAGCTTGGGCAGGAAGGTGGCAGGTGGAAGACACATCACAGGGCTCGGAACCAAACAGGGACAAAACCCACCTTTAATCTCAACTGGCTCCCTGGGCCTCCCTGGTGGCGCAGGCAGTTGAGCGCAGCGCTGTGAAGCTGTCTGCAGCCTCTGCGGCACCGGTTTGATCCCGGCCGGCCAGGGAGATTCCCACAGGGCGCAGCAGACCTCTCCTGTCTCCCTGCTGCTCCCCTTAGCAGTGGATTTCTGTCGTCTGCCTGTTCTGTTCCCTACTCTGTCTCTGGTGAATCCTCTCACCCTCCTGCGCGTCTGTCAGCTCTTGTATAAAAATAAATAAATCTTAAAAAAAAATCTTAACTGGCTCCCAGTGACTCCCGTCTGGAGAACAGGCTGAGGGCAGGGGGCAGAAGCAGGGAGACCGACTCACATTCAGGCAAGAGAACAAGGGTGCCTTGGACCAGCTGCAGCCAGGCAGGTGGCAGATGTCAGTTGGATGTTGAAGGCACAGCCACTAGGGTTTGCTGATGCAGCACCTGTGAGCCTGGGCCTCCTCGCAGCCCCAGAGCCTGGCCGTGAGTTCTGAGCTTCTCCCCAAGGACCACGCCACACACTGGCTGTTTTCCCAACATTTATTAGGAAAAAAATTTACATGGAGAAAGAAAAACTCATGCAACAAAAGAGGAGAGAACTGGGTTTCCGGGGCCGGGGGCCGGGAGCCGGGGCCCGACTCATCCGAGGCAGAGGGAGGGAGGAGTAAGGCACTGCCGCCTCGGCCCCTCGGGGTCGGCGCGGGAGGGCAGCTGAGGACAAGGGCCCCGGGCTCGGGGCAAGCAGACAACACCGGGACGTTTGGCAGTGGGCTGTGAGAAGGAGCGTTCTGGAGCCCCAAGCGCAGGTCAGGCCGACGCAGGCCTGGCCTAGCTCTCCAGGTGCCTGGAGAGCACAGGGTCCTCTGAGAAAGGGGGAGTCCCACTCTTCGGGAGAAACTGGGGAGTGCCGCGGGCCAGGTACACAGGGACCCCTCAACACAGCCATATCTGAGGGTGGCTGCAGGGACCTCACCCGCCCCAGGTGCGGCTAATGCTGAGGCCCCCTTCTCAGGACCAGTTGCAGCCAGCCACAGCAAGAGGGGGTGCCATGGCCAGGCCACAGCCGACACTGTCCCAAGGCGTCAGGACAATTCAAGGAGAGAAGATGAGCAAGGGGTTGGCAACCCTGGGGGACGGTGCACAGAGAGGGGGGAAGGAGGACAGTTCAATAAATAGGTGGTTGGGGAGCACATCGCCAGGAGGGCAGGACCACTCACGTCAGCTGGGCACCCAGACAGGAGGCTAGGGGTATTGCTGCTGTGGGGCTGGGGTGCTTGGTCCTGTCACCCCCTCCCCTGCAGGGCCCAAAGCAAGGCACTCATGAAGGGGCCCCGTGCCACCCGACCCGGGGCTCAGCCCCGAGACCCAGCGTGAGCACACAGCTCAGGCCTAAGATGCCCCTCCTCACCCACTGCGCCACCCTTAGCTGTTGCTGGACACGAGGCCGATGATCTGTTCCAGCTTCTGGCGCAACTTATGCTTCCGACAAGAGGCGTCTAGGTCCAGAGCACTGAGAACCTGGGGGAAGAGGCCCCCCGGAGCTGGGCTCTCCTCCTGGGCCCAGCCACTACTCCCCAGTGGGCCCTCCTCCCTCATGCTGTCCAGGACCTGCACGGCACTCTTGGGGTCCCTCCCGGCCATGCTCAGTCTCCAGGGCCTGCTCCTCCTCTTGCTGCCACCTCAGAGCATCTCAGGGCCCAGGCTCAGGGCTGAGTCTCCCCTGAGATGTCACGTGGGTGAGCTCAGCCAGCGCAGGGCGCTCATTGCCCCCTCCCGCTCACGAGTGCTTGTCTCCAGCCAGAATACAGCCTGCGGTGCACGTGCTACGTCCTATATCCCTGCCTGTTGATGTCCCAGGTCACGAACCCCACCAGCCCTCTCAACGGCTGCATGTGCCCGTCTTCTGGTCCCAGCCCCTCTGCTCATCCCCCCATGCCACGCCAAGACAGAACACAGCTCTGGCCAGGGGATCCTCCCCTGAAGCCGTCAGGTCTCAGCGTCTCTGGAGAATGTCAACTGTGCTGGCCTGGGAGCCTGACTGGGGAGGGACTATGACAATCCAAGAGATGGGCACCACGTCCCTCTGCCTCCCGGTGGCACTCCTGACCAACACCCCCCCCAAGCCCGTCTTTGCCACCTGCTATGCTCTCAGGGCTATGCCGCCCAGGGGCCTGTAGGACAGCACGCACCTCCTGGCGGTACTTCGTGACGTAGAAGTAGAGCTCACTGAGCGCGCTCAGGACGTTAAAGTCATTGGCATGGAGACGGGATTGCTCCACCAGGTAGGCATCCATGTCCTGGTCACTGATGGACGCCATCTTGGCGATGTCTCGGTAGTACCTGTGAGGCCGCTGAGTAAGTCACAGCAGCAGGTGTCGCAAAAGCCCAAGACCCTGCTCTGGCTGCCATGCCTGCCTGAGGTGCCCCTTCCTGCAGCCAGCCCCCCACCCAGCCCCTGCATGGGCAACAGGTCAGGGCCCACCTCTCCACCCAGCTCTTGTAGCTGGGGATGTCCTTGGCATACAGCAACTTGTTGGAGGGCGAGTCCTTGCCCAGCCGGTGCTCGGACGTGGAGCAGGAGTCCATGAAGGTCTGGGCCACCACCGACAGGCAGGCGTCCGTGATGCTGCTCTTGTGGATGTCGAACACGAACTGCGGGTTCTTGATCACGTTCACCCAGAAGCGCAGGGGCAGGCTGGACAGATGGGGAAGACATGTAGCTCCCCACTCAGCCAGCCGGTGAGCACCCTCCCATCACCCTTCTCATCCCAGCTCCTGTCTGGTCAGCTTGATGATGCCCAGAGGTCACAACTGTGACAGGCTCAGGGCTACTGGCCTTTGACAAACTGTGTCCATTAGACTTAAGCGTGAGTCGACGGCCCTTGGTCCTCAGAGCCTCCTGGCCCCCTCCACACTCTGCTAGCACCTGGGCCAGGCCGCTAGCATCCCTGCCCTGTGCACCACCCTGGAGGCCTCAAGGCTACCTT